GAAATGTATATGTAATATTACAAATAGGTGAGGAAAAAAATGATTTATTTCAGAATTTTGTGTTGCTAAAGCAAAGCTTAAATTTATGTATCAATTAAAACTAATGTGAAATCTTTATAAGTCAAAGCTATATTTGTTTGGTACATTTTATCTTTCATACTGTAACTATAAACACTCATTTAATTTCGTTCTGTACCTGATGCGTTACGTAACCCAATGCTGAGTTTATACATTATTCCATCTGTCAACCTGAAATCCGGAAAGGTCTCATAGCCTGTCACGTTGTTGTAATTTGTCATGTCAATGCGAAGTTCTGAATGACTTTGGTCAGCTAGTTCTTGTATGTACTTCAGGCCTATGGTAAGTAAACCAGAAACATAAATTACTATAAATACAACCTCTGCGGAACTATCGCGAAAATTTCGACAGTTCCAAAGTGTCAACATGAAATTTAAAACTAAAACGAAAGAAAAAAAAAGTTAAAAAGAAACAAAACAATCATATTTTGACACACACAAAAACCCTTACAGATATGCAAGATACATGGCGATCTTATTATATAAATAAATTGACCTGTTTATCAATGATACCAAATGAGTATTAACAAAGGAAAAATGAAATAAGAAACATGCTTACAATCTGTATTAAAATATGAGCCGTATTATTTTGCATTGTCATGAAATCTGGACGTATTGTTTTCTATTTTATCTTCTTTTATATCAATATCTTCTACAAACATATAATAAAGACATAAAACCAAGACAGTGTATCGCTTCGTACCTTAATTAAATGTCAAAATTACCAAATCGTCACAACTGATTAAAAATAAAACTGAAACATTAGGAAACAAGGATATCTTGACACGCAAGATGATTTCAAGATTACTTTGAAAACGTGAAGCCTCTATACGTATTTTAGTAGATGAATTACTTAACAAAACAAAAATGCTGGCCAATGATATTGTAAAATGCGTAAACGATCAAATAATAATTGTATTACACTTATTCATATCATAAATGTACAAGCTATTGGAAAAAAATACATTGTTTGTTTATAATAACATACATCGTTTACTTTAGCAAATAATTTCACTTATCTTAACTGTATATACTAAAGTGAACCATAAATCAAACCTAGCCACAGTTCTTCTTCCTGCGCTTTTTCCAAACCCCATTTTCTTTTAACTCTGTAAAAGTTTCGAAAAAAATTCATAGCCCCTCTAACCCGCCTAATAAAATATCTACAAAAAAGGTTCAACGACATTAAAAACAACGTATTTTAAAATTGAAAAAAATGATTCAAGTGAATTCAAATTTAAATAAAAATTAAAAGTAAAAAAAAGTCACATTAAAAAGTTTTTTTATTTTTATACCCCTATATATGAGAAAAAAACCCCGGGGTCTTTCATAGAACTAAAATTAAAACCCCTTAGTAATATTTTTATGTTTCCAAAATTTTCACGTATTTAAAACATTGACTTGTCTTGCATCGAGAGATTTGGGAAAAATTTTTTTTCTTTTTAAAAACTATTTGGTTAAAAAGAAAGTTTAAATTATTTTCTTATATGCAAAGAAGGGGCATGTGATGTATTAATATCTTTGTTATTTTTTCAAAATTTGGAAAAGATAGGACTAAACTTAAAAACTTTAAGAACTTAAAAATTAAAGCAATTTATGTTGTTTTTAGTTTTGCGCCTATTCGTGAAATATGCTTGTTGCGTTTTTTAACTTTTCTGTTGAAAAAAAATTGAAGTCTACAGCGATGTACCATCTTTAAACAAATACATTTATTTATCTATATACATGTTATTCTAGTTAGCATGATCGGAAAGTCGGAATTTTCGGTTCAATTATTTATTTACAAGGGATGTTTTAAAATTCGAAAAAAAGATTAGGAATTTCAACCTGAAAACACTTTTTTATAGACCTGAGCATCAAAGTTTACGCAAAACAGAAAAACAAAAGAAAAATAACTATAAACCCTCGATATTTGCTGGTTACAAAGTTTAATTAATTCGAACACATTACATACCGTTCCAGCCCGCCACCCCGCAGTTTCCATGTCACCCTCAATTCACAATCATGATTCTTGTTAGAACTGCCATAGTTTTATCTCATAAAAACCACTTTCTGCTTCCGGGTATTCATCAAGAATTTCTTTACAGTCGCTCACTAAGCAATAATGATATAAAAATAAACAAATCTTATTTCTAATGAATTAATCGGGTTATCAATAATAAATTAAGCAACGAACATTGAATAAGTGACAAATCCCTTGCGTTCATTCGGCTGCTAAGCAGCCGAGTCTTTTATGATTTTGACAAAGTCGCATGATTTACTGCGGAATGAAACGATTAATTTTGCGAGTATTAAATATTATTGCAATAAACACATTCATATGCATACGCTAAACATTTTGGTTCCTATTTTCTGTTTTTCAATTTATTGCAAAACATTGGTTATTTACATTTTTGTCCATTCGACTAATAATATTTGTTTGATCTCATAACATCTTTAACAATATTAGTTAATAAAGAAATAACTTTACCATAATTTGCCGATTAATTTTGGGGCCTAAGATATTTAAGATAATTGAACGGATGTAAAAATACTACTATCGCAGTTAGCTTCCTTTATGATAAATCATTTCACATTCATCACAATTTTCTTCAGGTAAAATTTGACTTTTTCCCTTTTCCCTTTTAACCCAAATTTTCCCCTTCGAAAAACCAAATTTTCCCGCTTCCCGAAAAAACCTAAATTTGGGTATTCCTTTTACATATTTATAAATTTTTTTGGGGACGTTTTTCTTTTTTAAATTTTGTTTTTTGTTTTTTAAAACCATTTTTTTGTAAATTTGGTGTGCCCCAACGAAATCATAACAAAAACCTTTTTATTAGAGCTTGAGTGTTTTTTTTTGGTTTTTTTAAAAATTTCTGTTTTTTTATTTTTTATCGAAAAATGTATCCCTTTTTTGCTTAACCACCCCAAAAAAAGGAAAAAAAAAAAATTTTAAATTAAAAAATAGGGAAAACAAGAAAAGCTTTTTTGGGATGCAAAGCATAAAAGGGGGCGCCCAAAGCAAAAATTTCAAAAAATTTGAGATAAAACTAGAAAGAAACTATGATGACAAGATATTTTTTTATAAACTTTTAAAAGGTTTAAATTTTGGGTTTTTCCCAAAGAAGGGAAGGGAAACGAAAGGGACATTGTTCTTTTATGAATTTTGGGTTTTGGCATGCAAAAAAATTAGAAAAATTCCCTTGTTATTTTTTTAAATGATGGGTGATTTTTTAAATAGGAAGGGGATATACATGTTTTAAAATAAATTTATAATCCAATGTGAAAACGCATGAAAAACCACCAAAACTTGCGGAATTTTTCTCTTATTATGTTATCGCTTTAGCGAAGCCCCCCTTTTTAAGGGTATTTTTGTTAAACACTTATTTAAAAAATAAAACTGGTTATATGGCCATGTTGATCATGTTGAGCATAATTGTTTATTATACAATAATTGGGTAATATTCTCATTTTAATATAAAAAAATACAGATTTTATGGATATTTTGTTTTCCTCTCCTTTTTTCGTGTTTTATGTGCTATTTTAATACTTGAGTTTTTCCACGTTTACTACTTCTTTTTTATTAAAATTGTAAAATAAATTTTAAGAAATTTAATAAAGTCATATTGACCGGGACGAATTATAAGTCAAAACTTAACTGGAAATCAGTTAAATTATGCTTAACCTTCAATATATAATATTGCTTATTCTTAAAAACCATTGTACATGTACATTTTTGTACTTTTCTTTATCATTTTGTTTTTAAATTATCAATCAATTGAATAAATTCATAAAATTCTAATTTTGTAACTTTTGGAATAATTCCTGGGCATCTTTTAACTAAACACGCAATAACAACATAAATAAAATGTTTTCAAAGTTTGATAGTGTCATATTTATACCATAAAAAATGTACCTTTTTCTCAATTATTGTACATATTTATTGTTTTTATCTCATATAGATAAAATGAAACATGCTATTGTTGTTGTTGTTGGTTTTTTTTCGAATTGTATGTTTATGTATAATAATAATCAATAAATTTGAGAGTTGATCTATGTTTATTAATTATTGTAATCAAACTAAGTGACAAACATTCATTTTGGAAAAAAGCTTTATTTATCTGTAAAATATCTGTTCTGTCTGTAACGATATCAATCATCTACTCCAAAACCGGGAGAGACCGGACAATAAATGTGTGGTACTATTCGCCGGTCACTAGTAAATCCCGGTCAAAATAGACCGGAGGAGACCGGGAATTACCGATAGCAGTACATCCCTTCTATAAAATAGATTTTCGGAATGTTTAGGCCATCAACTCATCATTCTATTTTAACATACCATAATAAAACCCACTGTGTACTACAAAATGATAAATACAAAAAAAAAGCTAAGAGACGGAAAAGGTTATTTCATGCATTGCGAAATTCTCCAGTTCGCTGTTCATTGTACATATTCGAGACATTTTTTTTAATCAAGCACCCTCATACCGATCGGAACGATCGGCTTTTATTATGACCGACTATAAGGCTCGAGAAGTTTGCTGTCGCCCCTTTCACAAAATCTGATTTCATTCCATAAGGGCGCCGCGCTTCGGCGCGGAGGCCAAAAAATAATGTTAAACGTTTCGATATTTATCTTCATATTTACAGTCAATTATACACTTTTATATATGAACAGTATAGAAAATGCCTCGAGAGCATTGAAACAAAAAAGCAAATACAATAGCACAAAATCGGTTATATTTCGTCTTTTTGGTATAGATAATGAAATTTATTGTACATTAATAAATGAAATATCAAGAAATATTCATTGAAAAATGCGTATTTTCATTTTCCGTATTTCTACTGTTAAAATTCTTTCTGTATATAAAACAACAACAAAAACAACAACAAAAACACAAACAAATCAAAGCACAGAAGGCGCTGAATTTGTTTGTGTCACAGAATGCCAGAAAGATGTAGGTTGTAAGACTATAAACCAATTTGTTTGTAAAGTGTCACCAAATTCTGTTTTCAGTGTTATAATTATAGTGGCTATAAGACTAATTGTAACACTGATATTCAATTCAATGTTTATTTGACTTAATCAATTAAAAAAACAACAAAAAAAAACAACAAAAAAAAAAACAAAAAAGACATGATTAGCCTGACCTGGGATTTGAACTCATCACTTCTCGCTTCTAAAGCGAGCGTGTAAACCCCTAGACCACGGAGAGTTATAAGATAACAGCCTGAAGAATACCATATTATTCTTAATTAGAGTTTGTAAGCCTTATGAATTTCGATGTATTTTGTTCACGGTAAACCTGTTGCTTAACACTGAAGTAAATAATCATGGAGCTGAATATAAGCATGTATATCTATAAGAATAACACAATATTAGAAATCTTCGACCAATCGGGAACTATTTTTTCGTTACGAAAATTAATGCGCCTGTCATTTGACAATCTTTACGCAGTGATCTCCCCTTAATTTTTCGGCGTTAATGTACATATGAAGGGAAGTAACCGCTTCAAAAAAGCGGACTTCTTTCGGCATTTGCAATTAACAGCATCAGGGTCTAAAATTTCGCTACGATTATTTGTTTGGTCTGACGACCCAAACAAATAAAAACACAGCACATTCTCGAGCAAATCGTTAAAAACACCAATTGATTCCGTTGCGGATTCGATTTTCTTCAAGTTTGGAGATCTTCTTTGCACAATCTGGGGACCAAAGCCCTAACCCAATCAATATGTCCGGAGAATACCGAGTGGAATGATCAATTTGGACTGGCGATTTGTTCTGACTGTACGAGGTATGATTAAAAAGTTCTCGGCCCGATATACTTCTAGCCACTACACTGATATTTACATACGATTAGTCGATACCGATATCTTATTGAAGATTACTGACCGAGTGACACGCGGTTTTACACAGATTAAGTAAACATAAAACACACTTTTGTCAGTAGAGGGATGTGTCATTTAAATCAGATGGAGAAAGTTGAAATCAGAGCCGTCATTAAGTACCTCTGTAAGAAAGGGATGTCCCCCAAGGAAATCCATGAAAACTTCATGGATACACTTGGGAAGGAGTCCCCTTCCTATAGCACTGAGAACAAAATGGGCTGCTGAATTTAAGAGGGGCAGGGAGAGTATTAAAGATGATGAGCGGCCTGTGCGGCCAAAAGAGGCCATCAACGGCTGTGCACGATCTGGTCATGCGAAACAGAAGGCGAGACAGACCTGCGAAGCATTGCTAGGGAAGTGGGTTAACGCTATGGTTCAGTTCATGCAAATCTGACTGATGTCTATGACTTGTCAAAGGTTTCTGCTAGATGGGTCCCTTAGAAAGTTGACCATGCTTGACATTTGAAGATATCTTTTGTCTCGCTACGAGGATGAACCTAATTTTATCTACCGGATCGTAACTCAGAATGATACATGGGTCCATCACTTTGATCCAGAATAAAAAACAGAGCATGCAGTGGAAGCACCCTGGCTCACCCCTCCGAAGAAATTGAAGAGGGTGCCATCAGCAGGGAAGATGGTGGCTTCAATTTTTTGGAATATTCAGAAAATAATCATGATTGACTTGCTTGTGGTATTTTTAGTTTCAACTTTTCGGCATTTTCTATATGGGTGGTTCCAATATTCCTACTTGAATAATGTTGAATTACCCTTAGGATATGTTGCCTGCTTTTTTAAATTTGTCTAATGACGTCTTATCTGTGATACGCAGGCTTCATAACCTCTGATCCCCTTTCAAAATTCCATTTTATTTAGTTCTGCCCATTGTTTTCTCGTTTAGGGCACACGCTTTTTATTACTTGGGGACCATACGCCGCTTTTCATGGAATGGCACGGAAGTGTCACATTGAAGGTTCCATGATAACCGCCGTATGAACACATCTGCGGATGTTTCTAAATTCAAATTTTACTATTTCACGTTTAAATGTTGAATTCTGCTTAAGCCGGTGCTAAGGGGCGTGGACGGTAATTTGCATTTTCCAGTACCGTCCATGAACTGGCTCAATCAAACCGAGCCTGCAACATTTTCAATTTTGCCGTGTTGGGCTTTCTTTAGGGATTCTGTATTTATCTATTTTTTGAGCAAGGTCGTACCATAAACGGTACATACTATGCAGACGAATTGAGACGTCTGCGTCAAGAAATCGCGCTTAAAAGGAGGGACAAACTGACCCAAGACGTTCTGCTCCTGCAGGACAATGCGCCAGCTCACACATCCCAAGTTGCGATGGCTGCTGCAACAGACTGCGGCTTTGAAATTCTTCCGAATCCCTCATATTCTCCGAACTTGGTCCCATCTGACCTCTACCTGTTTCCGAAACTGTAAACCAAGCTTCATGGTAGACGTTTTGGAAGCAATGAAGGTGTCATGGAGGCGGTCAATTAGTTCTTTGATGACCAAAATAGAGAGTTCTATTTTGAAGGGTTAATCAATTTGGGGCACAGGTAGGCAAAGTGCATGTAGAGGGCGATTATATTGAAAAGTTAGACCATTAGTTGCGTTATCTGACTACCGGAAGTACATCGGGCCAAGAACTTTTTGATCAATCCTCGTATGTAAAATGCAGTTATACAGTTGAAAACATTTGACTTATTCCGTTGCAGATTCGTTGTTTTACTAGTTTGGATGGTCATCTTTACCGATATAAGGCCCAAAGCTGTAACCTAGGCAATATGTCCGAGAGATTTCCGCATGTCTTGTTTTCGGACCGGCGATTTTCTTTTTTCTGTATAACCGTAGATCGGCTAAAATTACAAAAGACACATCGTGGATAGAGAAAAAAGAAAACGCTTCTGATACTGAGATTTACGTTATTTTGATCGATCACAGTGCAGGATATAATATTCAGGAATTAAAGGCTGTACAGTTAGCCATTGTAAAATGAACGCTACGTACTTAAAAAGTAATTATTTAGTAGATTGTATTAGTTTAGAGGATATTGTTCACAGCAATATAAGGCTCAAAGCTCTAATGCAAGGAAACTGATAGCAAGAGGCACGCGCAAAATGGTCGCTGGACCGGCGATTAGTTCTTTAATTAATAAAGTCTATGAAATTTCGTAAAAACAAATCCAAAATTTCCTTTAACCAACCGTTAATAGACCATTTGTCTGATTCAGTTGCAGATTCGATTTCCATAAGTTTTGAGCGTCTATCTTACATAATATAAGTCCCAAAGCCTTTACCCATGCAAAATATCCGGGCTTGGTCGTTTTTGAAACCGGCTATTTGTTCTTTCTACATAAAAAGAGTAACTATATATTTGTGCAAAATTGAACAACAACAAAAACAACAACAACAACCAAGAGTTAACTTGCATGGCATGGTCGTTTTTTTTTTGCTTTGTTTTTTTGACCGGCGATTTGTTCTTTTTTTATAAAAAGTGTATAATTTTTCGGTAATAATACCATAGTATCGAGCTATCAGTTAAACCACCATTTGTCTGATTCCGTTGCGGATTCAAAATTGTATTAGATTTGATTGGATTGGGTGGTTTTCTTTGCACACTACGATTAAACCCCAATTTGTATAATTCCGTTGCAGATTCGATTTTGTACTTGTTTGGAGGATCTTCCTTACACAATATGAGTACATCGCCCTAACCCAAATATTATACCCGGAAGATTTCTGCACTCATGGTCGTTTTTCGCAACGGCTGTTTGTTCTTTCTATATAAAATGTGTATATATTTTCGTAAAAACCCCTAGATATTCTCGAGCGAACTGTTAATACACCATTTGTCTGATTACGTTGCGATTTCGTTTTTGTATTTATTTTGAAGGTTTTCTTTGCACCCTATGAGGACCAAACCCCTATCCAAAACAATATATCCGTGGGAGTCTTTCTTCGTACAAGATATTTTTTTTTTATAATATCTCTATATTTTCTCTAAAAACACCATATTCTTGAGCCAGACGTTAAACCACCATTTGTCTGATTCCGTGGCAGATCCGATTTTGTACAAGTTTGGAGGGTCTTCAGTGCACCAAAGGAAGAACGAAGCCCTATCCAAAACGATATCGGGAAATTTTTGCGTGGCATGGTCGGTTTTCATGCTATCTTTCTGTATATAAAGTGTAGACAATAATTATTTTTGAAGGAAACATAATTTTTCGAGCCAATATTAAAAATAAAGCATTTGAATATAAACTTTATAAAGTATATAAATGTTAAAAAAATCATATTTTTGAATCAACCGTTAAAACACCATTTCAGATTTGATTTTGTACTAGTTTGGAGGGTCTTCCTTGCACAATATGAGGACAAAACCTCTATAACTAACAAAAGAATTCCGCATTGTTTGGTTGTTGTTGTTTTTGTACCGGCCAATTGTTCTTTCTTTATATAAACTGAAAATTTGTTTAACAAATAAAATAAAAAAAATAATCATCAATTTCTGATTAAAAAAAACAACAACAACATTTGACCGGTTCCTACCGATTCCATTTTGTACTAGTTTCGAAGGTCTTCCTTACACAATATGAAGACCAAATACTTAACACAAACAATTTTTCCGGGAGATTTCTGGGTGGCATGGTCGTTTTTATGTATATAAAGTGTATATTTTTTGTTAAAAAAAATCCATATTCTTGAGCCAACTGTTAAAACACCATTTGTCTGATTCCGTTGCGGATTCGATTTTGTACATGTTTGGAGAGTTTTCTGTGAATATGTGGACCAAAGACCTAACTCAAACAACCATGTCCGGGCGATTTCCGCGTTGCGTGTTTTTAATTTTCTTTTTCCTTTTTTTAAATACAATTGACAAACGAAGCTGTACAAAAACAACAGATAAACAGAAGAAAATCAATTCAATCAAACTTCACCTACCTACACGTTTGTGTGGTCCGATGGCATGCTTTATTGTTGGTGCAGTCTCAACATACCAAATCCTAAACTCCTGGCATCCAATACATTCATGAATGTCCGGTTTGAATAAGCTAACGAGACAGCTGTGTTGCGTGAAACAAATCTTGCTGCATTCCATCGGATGATGAACGGTAGCAGAGAAAAGAATCATGTTTGACTTGCAGCTAAGTGGTAAACCTGGACGTATAAAGTCGTATTTCTTCCAGTGAACTATAGTCGACGATATTATCTGAAGTACAAACAATAAAGTCGAGATTAATATCACAATCTTTGATTTAAATTTCATTTTATCCAATTATTTTGTGGACAAAATATAACTGTTATAACAGAAGAATCATAGTGTGTCTAGACACATATGTTCAGCGACATTTCAGCAACTGAACTAATGATGAGTAAATTATCTCTTTTTATGGTTTAATTAATTTCAAAGACAAAAAATGTAAATAATATATTAAATTATGTCTTTGAGGGTTTTATTTCAAAGACAAATATTGTATAATTTATAATACACTTAACGGGCTTTCGTTTTAAGTGTGTACATTGATTTAATACAGTGGAAGCTTTTTCATGCCTGGTTTCTGAGAGAAGATTTGTTCTCCATTCTAAATTCCCAGGGAGTTTCCATTTTAGCTAATGTACTAGTATATACATTGGTCCCAGCTAGTCAGAAAGTTATGTTTATACTCAAATTAATGACAAAAAATATTAAAATGGTCTTATGTACTCAAATCACGCTAAATGACATTTTTTAAAGTCACAGCATGATTTTTTGTATAAATTTTATATATTTTGCGTTTTAAGCGTAAATATATCTGTATATGTTGGACAAAATGAAGACTCCGACAGTATCACCAAGTAGTTTTAAGACAAGTTATGTAACTTGAACAAACTCTGTGAGCTACAATAACAGATATTGTGGATATAATGTATCATTAAAACAAGTCTAAGTCATTCATTTGACATGCCCTTTAACGTTTCTAGAGTTCACTGTGACATCTATTGTGAAATCTTAACGCTCTAACCTGACCCGCGTTGGTCAAGTTAGGAAACCGCCATTTTATTCTTAATAAGAAGGAAAGTTTTGTTCCTGTGACTGCTTGGTGCATTTATTTTGAGGACATTTACAGAATAATGAATAAATAAATCAAAACGAAGAAATAAATTTTTTGCCTGTGTCTCCCTTTAAGCGTTCTACAAACATGGCGAATATAGACGTTACAGAAAATGTTTGTGTTACAGACTTCAAAACACGTCGATAGAAAACAAAAGTTTTTGACTGCGAACTGTGTTTAGTTTGGATTGTCATATTGAATATCATATTCATAACGATTTAATACTATATTTATTACAACATATGCTCGTCAGAGGCTCGCATAATAAAATTGCATTCAACTCGTTCAATTAATTCGGTACGGAACCTACACTTACTCGGTATCTTCAATATATGGCACATGTTTGTCACTTTAATTTGATTATCTTAGTAAAAAATCCACATAATGTAATGTTGTATTTTAAAAAATCTTCCCGCTACCCATGTCATGTTTGAAATATTCAAGATTTTAATTACAACATAATGTAGTTGACGAAATATAAAAATATGCCAACGAATTTTAACTATTTGACGTATGTTTTCATTTGATAATTCTCGACAGAATAAATTATTTTTGCGCATGTGCAAGACTGTCTGCGTTGCTTGGTATGCACGCGCCAGATGGCGTATAATTTGTTAAGCTGCCCTAAGCGATTTCAAGCTTCCCTTGCTATTTCTAACAAACGTTTAAAAGCTTAAAGAGTTTAGTAGATTTGAGAGAAAAATAAATAAAATTAAAAATGTTAGCTTCAAATTTGTAGTATGGAACATAAACGTTATGTTAAAAAAATGAATAGCACATAAATATGAAAATACTTCTTTATAAAAACGACTCGTATGTTCATACGTATTGTATTCGACAAAAGAATAACGGTTATACAGTAAGTTGCAGGCTCTTGGCTCGTTTCTATTCCCCCGGGTAAGACCAAAACTTGCTGGGTGCTGGGGTGCTTTTTTAATTTGCTAAAAGAAAGTCAAAGCCTCTTCTCCTACGCTCTACATTTCTATTTAAACTGTAATACCAAGATTTTATACAAAAGTTTCATCTTTTAATCAGCCCACTCAACGTCGTTTAACGTTTACGAAATGTTTTTATGATAAGTATTATATATTTGTGTGAAGATTGCGACATTATTATTTAAAAAACGCGTTCACAAAAAAAAAACATATAAATCCTTGTTAGAAATATTAGAATATCATGTCTTTTTTGTCATTATCATTTTTTATTTATTTCCTTTCATAGCGTATGCAAGAATTTTTTATAACGCGCTCTTAGTTTTAATAAATGCATTTTAATGATAGAAATACGTTAAAAAGTTTGTAGACAAACTTAAATATTTTGAAAAATAAGATAAATGTGTATTAACACACAGATCTGTTTATATGCAACTTGAACAGACACTATTAAGGCCATATGTCGACTTTTAACCATAACTGTTAAGACCCCGGGTGCCCCTTCGAGCATAATTTCAGGCAAAAGGTGCAACCGACCCTCCGTCAAATAGCAGAATAGCTTCTAAGTTAACCACAGCGGCATCAAGCCTGGTTTTGACTTAAGCATAAAAACAGCGAGCTGGTATCAAAAATACAACCAATTTACTATTTTTGTTCGTGTGTGGCACGGCAGTTGAAAAGTGGAGCGCATCATGATATTTCATGCCGTATAATAAACCTCAAATATTACAGTTATAAACACTAAACAATTCATTGTCCCTGTATTTCCACGTGATGTTTCACAGACCGTACATCTTTCTCTTAGTCAACAGATAGTTCTTTAATCTCAAGAAAATTTCTAATTAACTTGTTTACATCAAATATAGCCGTGAGTGTTTTATAAACTATTTTACCTTCTTTCAGAGTTTGTGATTATAATGGCATAGTTATAAAGCCAAAGGATTGATTAGGCTTCAAGCTTAATAATCAAACTCAACCAATGACAAGACCATTATGAAAACCCTCAATTATTGACAATTTTATAAATAACAAAAAAAGCATAGGATTTTTCAATGGGTAGCGTTAGCTTCAAAATGGCCGTATGTCTGAATCTTATAAACGTTTTTTAATAATGATCCATAGTGTCATGGTGAAAAAGTATCAGCTTTGAATTGGAAGTAGAAATGCGCCCAATATTACACAGTTAATTTAAAATGCATATAAAAGATTCATTTTGAAATATGAACCTCCGAACCCTAGGCCAGACTAAGAAAGACATTACTCGTAGTTTTTCATTGGCAGAAACCTTTATCGCCCTGTAACTTTGTCATCAAATGAGATGCCATGGTCATGACTACAAATTCTACTTAATGGTTGTTTTATTTACTGTACAGGAAACCCCTAGCCCTTGCAATTTCTAAATAATTAACATAAAAAACAAGAAAATTATTGATTGTACAGATTAAAAAATAACATTTTTTCTAGATAAGGAATGTTATGGAGACTGATTTGTGCCATGTTGTACTTTGCATCTGGGGTCACCGGACGAAAACATGAACATACAACAAACGAAGCACTTTCTGTAAACAACCCTGATAATCTCGCTCACATCCGGGAGCTACCATTTCGATCATATTCACGTTGTGAACCTTAAAATGCCTTCAAAACTACAGCCTGGATTTTCTTCCAGATTTCCATTGCAAAAGGAGCGACACTTTCATGGTTAGTAAGAATACATCTACCCTTCGCATTCTCATTTTCAAGAACTGACCAATTTTTCTTTTGATACATAACCTCCGTATCCAACGGAGCTAGCGTCGGTTGCCATACCCAAACTAGATATAAAACATTTTTTCATCTGCTTACCCTATTCAAATACGTGCATTATCTAGCCAAAAATGCAGTTCATTTGAAGCTTTATTGCTTACCTTAACAAAAGCATTCCAACTTGCGCGTGCTATAATACACGTGTATAAATACCTGGTTCTCCGACAGACTATCTTTCCTACAACGCTTTGAAGAGAAATTATTTGCCCTACAACGGCAGCTAAACACTTAACAAGTAAAAAATCTAAATTATCTCTTGATAATGGAAAAGGCTACTTTTAATTACAATTCTAAACGAGCATTTCTATCTTCTGCAATAAACTTACAATTTATGTTATAACCAATTATATGATCTAACTAAGATACTAATCTAGATGGAGACCAACAAAACATGTTATCAGCAAGCAAAAACCCGAATTCGAGCAAAGAACTTAGCATAAAACTACTAGATATTTTGCCTTATCGTATTCAGAGTTACCACCTACTCCATCATCTAAAAACATGATTACTTTATGACCCAAATATCTCCAAGATAAAATGATAACCCGAAGTGTTTTTGTAAATATATGCCCGGCGGTGGATATTCCGAATGGCAATGAGTTATATACATAATAATTTTAGATCCCATTTACAATATATCAAAAACCTAAATATTTAGTATGTTCTGGAAAAATATGTGATGGTCAGCACTCTTAAAATCGAAAGAGTTAACAAATGTATTGAGGTCAAGCGTATTTTTTGCAGTGTTTATGTCCTTAAATTTTATCTTAAATTTATGTAAGCAAGGATTAATATGTCTGCAATCTAACACTTACGTAGTTTTACCTACTTTATTGTAAGCAACAGTTAATGGGTTTATTACATAGGGCCTCTCTGTCACCTCAGAAATCACACTATTTTCTAAAGGAGATTTTCCCTTGTCGATTTGTTGTTTTTCAGATACACTTTTTGCGACACATAACTAAACGGTAATTTGTAGCCATTTTTAACAACGTCCAAAATAAATATATTTCTAGACACATTTTCCCCTAACCAAAATTCAGCTTTAACCTTCCAACTGGGGAAATAGGCTTATCTTTACCTTTTGACCCCGAGAGAAGAATTAGGATTGTAAGAATCTCAATAAACAAAGAAGACGATATTCAAACAAGAGAAGCTTTAGGATTGTAAGAATTTTGGTAATCAAAGTAGACGGTATTCGAACAAGGGTAGCTCTTTAGGATTATAAGAACCTCAAAAAACAAAGAAGCCGATAATCAAACAAGAGTAGCTTTAGGATTGTAAGGATCTCGATAAACAAAGAAGACGATTGCAATGTTACAGTGCGTAATTAACATAGATTAGTCTGACCCGTCAGTCAATAAATTAAGAGATTAGTCTGACCTGTCAGTCAATAAATTTAGTAGCTTCATACCTGATGATATTTCATGATAACTAAATTTAATAAACACTATCCTTTTTGTGAAAGGTCAAAATTAACAAGTTTCATTGGCTAACAAAAAAATAACATCTCATTTTTTCACGTTTGGTGAGATTTGCAAAAGATAATTACTTCGATCAGGGAAATTGTTGAAGAAGGGTGGTCTTCAGCCGTCTTTAACATAATTTGAACTCATCTATATTTACAGTCAGGTAAATCCCAGGTTGTCCCTGTCCTGTCCCTTGTCCTTTTTAATTGGTTATGTAAAATTATGGTTAAATTCATTTTAATATACCATTCTGAATCAGCTGTTTTTCAGCTGACTTTGACTTTTTATATTTTGAATTAAAGAATTCTTGCCATAGCTTCATAAGTAAACATTTATCTAAGTATCAAATTGATTACAATTTATTTGCTTTTGTTTGCTTATGTTTGCTTTTATTTTTCTTTTATTTTGCTTTTATTATTTTTCTTTTTTATGATTTTTGTGTATTTGTGGGACACCCTTTTTGTAACAACAATTGAAATGAAGCGAACCTACAAACAATAGAATATATATCTTGTGACACCCTCAGAATTATTTGTTATTGAAAACAACCAACTGTCACAGTAAGAATATCGATAAACAAAGAAGCCGTTATTAAAACAAGAGAAGCTTTAGGATTGTAACAATCTTGGTAAACATATAAGCCGATATTCGAACAAGAGTAGCTTTAGGATAATAAGAATTGCAAAAGACAAGGTAGCTGGTATTCGAACAAGAGTAGCTTTAGGATAATAAGAATCGCAATAAACAAAGTAGCCGGTATTCGAACAAGAGTAGCGTTAGGATAATAAGAATCGCAATAAACAAAGTAGCCGGTATTCGAACAAGAGTAGCTTTAGGATAATAAGAATCTCGATAAACAATGAAGACGATATCCGAACAAATCACGTTAATGTGCATTCTGTACGTGCAATCTTCTGCATGGTACCGCACACATTTTACATTTGACATCGTGAGAATCATACAAGCTCATAGATGTCACGCGTTTATCATACAGTAACACATACAAATAACTTTGTATAATGGATTTACATTCAAGACAGTTAACGCTTGGATCTGGAATAATTCCATCTGTTGGCCTCGGAACTTACACATTCTTCGAAAAACATGTATGTAAAACTATGTAATTAGTTAATATATTGGTTTCTGTTTTTCTATATTGTTAGAAATTAGAACAATGTAAAAAAAGAAACTGCGTCTAAGATATCCCATAGTCTTCACAGCAAATGTGAAGAATATGTTTGTGTCGCGTGACTTGTGGTCCCAATTGCCACAACTCTGAAAATTGCGGTTGTGTTTAAAGTGTATAGGTCTACAATCGGCACATTTTTCATATGCATTTTAAGTATTCAGAAAAACAATAGAAAAGTATCATTTAGATATCCTTATTGCTTAAAAAGTAAATTATTATATAGTTTTAAGAATGAACATCTATCTGATAAATAATACTATATTTTCGAGAGCATTGTATTATATATGTAATATCGGATAATGTATCTCACACTTGCCAACAACTTCCGTTAATTTTTGATGTGTTGTTATGCCTAATACAAAATACTATCAACGTAATAATTCATTGTATTACAGACCTTCCATTATTAAAAATGTTATCCGGGTACCAAATACGCACCTACAAGGCACGGGTCAATATGAAAATGTTGCATCGTAGTTAAGAGATTTTTTTAAATTTCAAATGTGATCGGTATTAAGCGTATGTCAATCAAAGGACTTCGCGCTGACCTGTGAATGTTGATATAGCTTACCTGCCAAGTTACCGCACTGTCTTTAGAGTTTAGGGGGTAAAAAGGTAAAGAGTTGAACCGCTATATACAGAAATTCAAGTCACTTAAAGGCTCATCTAACACCTGGGTAGATATAGCAGACACATCATTTTGAAAGCTAACATAATTAATAAATTACTATGCATCAGAAAATTTTTAATTTTATTTCTCAAAACCTTTGTAATTTTGGTATACTTTTGTAGTATTCAAGGGGTTACTTATTGGCCAATTACCGGGACCATCATTTTCATATGTTGCTTTTTGGAAATAAGTACAATCATAGTGAATAAGTATTTGGTATGGAAGTCAAAATACTACTTTGTTCACATTTTGCTACTTTTATGACAAATTATTTCACATTTATTTATACATTGTACAATGTATTGTATTTTGTCAGGTAACAAGCATCTAATATTTCTCTAAAACCATTATTCAAACATTACAAAATTCATGTTTGCCATATCTAAAGAAGCATTTTTTTTTGTTTCTGAAGCATAATATGCCTTAACTCTTTATTAGAAGTATCCCTTTCGTCATTATTTCTTCAATTTAAAACCACATGATATTTTAACAGTCAATTTTGCACTTTCTCTCTTTCCTTTCCCTCATAATATTTCATACATATAAAAGTTTTCTTGCATATTTTATCAGTTAAAATAAAATCCAACTTTAAGAATTTACCTTTTCTGTTCTACCTTAAGTGTCCTTTAGTATGTTACTGAGTGAATGGAGTACATACCATATGTATTTAATAACGTTGGAAATTTGCAATATTCAAAGATACACAAAATTTAAAGCTATAGAAAATAATGTTTGAAATGTCTTTGCATCATTTTATCAAATATGTCTCAAAATGCAGTTATATTATCACTTTTATAAAATAAGTATTTTCAATGTAAAATAGGAAAACAAAAAGGCCTGATGGCCCTGACTCGCTCACCTGATATATAGTGCCAGAAAAGGTCACAATTTAAATGTTTCAGTGTTGATTTAAAGTCAGTAATAAGGTCACATTGGGTTTGTTATTTTTTACCCCAGCTGATTTTTAGAAAATATTTGTAGAATGCCCAATGATGAATATCTATCTAAGCTTTTAGAATTGTAGTTTCATTAGACTTAAATGTATTTTCCTATACATGTATTCCATTTTTGAACCCACAGCCATGGTTTATATTACTTTTGTAGAGTCCCTTTCAAAAGAAACATAAGACATGACCTTGGAGTCAAAAGTCAACTCTTATAAAGGTCATTTAGTTTTAGTACAGTTACATAGTAAAATATATTTTAAGTTTCTTTTGTAAAATTACAATGCCCAAGACTTTGATATTTAGCATGTAGTATTGCTTAGCGGACAAAATTTTACCTCTTAAAAATTCACAACTTAATGTGACCTTTTCCAGTAATATATCTCAAGTAAGTGTTACATTGCCATAATGGGCCTCTTTTTAAAACTTATAAGCAGCTTGAACGTAGTGGAGCGGTCATGAAAAATTTTGCAAACAGATTTCTATAACAATTTCTCTAAGCGGAGTAATAAATATGTCACGTCAAAAATTGTAGCCTGCATGCTGAACAAAACTGATCTGAAGACATTTTAGAAACTTCGATATAAAATAATTTCAAATAAAGCAAACTATAGGAAAATGGATTAACAAACAAACAAACAAATCATCAGTAGACACTGTACAATATAGTCGAAATGGTTAATATATTAACCAAAAGTTCCCTTCATTATTCATTAATTAAGAATTAACTCTATGGATATTAATCTAATTATCCACTAAAATTTGTATCCCTTTATGAATGTCTGGTATATGTTATCATATGTGAGCATAGAGCGAATTCTGTTTTTAAAATTAGTAGTATTATTTTTTTCATATTTCGACAATGACAAACAATTGTTATATGAGAACAGTAAGTGCATTTCAGAATGATGACATCTGTAACATGCAGTAGCTTGGGCTGTAATATCCGTCCTATAAGGTTACCTAACGAAATCCACCGAGTTCCTGAGTAGCCCATTGGCGGTACTGAGAGGCAGATATTCCGATCTGAACAGTAAACACGATCTTTCTTCTATAAATAAAATATATTCTATCATATTTTAAATTGTTAAACTATAGACAACTGACATTCTAATAATATCATCGGTCATTTTTTTCTAATAAATACTATAGGCAAACTGCTTGACTCATTAAGAAATATTCAAATTACAATGTACTCATACCAAATTATGTTAAACTTGAGACCGATGCGAAAGTATTTAAATGAAAATTTCAGTTCCGATTGTAATGAATCTATTAACAAAAAATATCAATAAAAAAGATCCTCGGACGAGGTTTGTTTGTTTGGGTTTTACGTCACACCGACACAGTATAGGTCATTTGGCGAGGTTCCAGCTTTACTGGTGGAGGAAGACCTCAGGTGCATTAATTCAGGCACGAACGGGCACCCGAGTAGAACCATCGACGTTCCGTAAGCTAGCTGGATAGCTTCCTCACATGAAAGAATCCAAAGTCCCTGTCGGGATTCGAACCAACAGCGGTGAGGGGCAAGTGGTTTGAAGTCAACGACCTTAATCGGACGAGGTAAAAATGCTTTAACGTGCATGGTGTCTTTCGGTATGCACATGCTTTTCCCGGGATCATGGACGTTATCACACGAATAAGACGCTTTGATATTATATTATTCCTCCAGTCCCTGTTACAATCCCCCACCCCCCACAAAAAATGATCTATAGTCAATGTCTACATTTAGTATTCGTAACATCAATAATATGACACTATTACGCAATTTTCATTATACCTCTATAGTATTAGTTATACATGGGTAGCAACTATTTCGCCCCTCCAGTGCTTTGACTGTACCCAAGTTTACATTCAGTGTCATAACTCTGTAGGATAACGGTAATTAAATGGTAATTAGTCCTAAGAATTCAACTAAACATTGCTAGTTAATGGGCGGATATTAATTATGATAAGTAAACTGTCACCGGACACGTGAGTAAGATATGTCTAATTTAGGTAATTGATGCTCATGTGATCAATAAGCGGGGATTGTACCGATAGGCGACAAACATAATTGTTAACTGTCCGGAAATGAATATTTGCAGTTATGAATTATAGGTTAATAAAAATTAAGGCGTAAGTAAGATCTCGATATAAAATAAGCCAACTATTACTTTCTTAGTGTTGTTTTTGATTTAGGTACACGCACTCACTCAGGTTGAATAAGCTTTTCAACCATTTTTGGCGAAGTTGCAGTTTTCGGACAACGTGCATGAAGTGGATCTTTTACTGAATCCACACAACTTATAAATTTCTTACACCAAGGTGTGACAGATTAAAAAGAAAGTTCATTGTTCCCATAATCACGACATATTCCATTAAATGTCATTCGTTTGTATACCAAGAAAACAGCGGTTCTTGATTTAGGCCAGATTTTGGTCAGTGAAAGGAGAATTTTTCCCAACCATTTTAGCTTTAGTATACAAAAGTAGATAGCGTTTATCGAGCTTTTGTCAAAACTAGACTAAAATGATTTACACAAGTACTTTATACACAACCATCTATGCGATACATGTACATAGATCGTGCAACATGGTCAAAAGCGAGATATTGTCCTATGAACACGCCTGGTAGTTACCCCAACTCCAGTGCATGCGCATTGATTGACTTAATATGACGACAGGGAAAGAGATAACGACAGAAATGTCATATTCAGATGCTCGTTCTTTCTGGGGTTGCATTATGTTTTTATTTTTTGCCTATGATACAAAATAGGAAGAACATCAAAACACTCGGCAATCTGATTAATACTTGGCTATGTCAGAAAGCCTGTGTTTCGATGCTCTTTCTATAACTTCAGGGCTGGGAATCAAAACTGCGTCGTATCCTACAAAATGTAAACAAACGCCGCCACCTTGGATAGAAAAAGGTGTTTATAACTCTTTTTGTTGGAAATGACTGAAAACCAGATATATGTATTAACATGCTCCACAATTTTCCACTTGTGACAGTTATCACAATAACTCCTTAACAAGTTATTATAAGAACTCCATCCCTCGTGTAACACTTCCTCCCCCGTGAAATAAACATTTCTTTTTAATGAAATTTTAAGTAAATGATACAAAATTATATGTTGAAGTTTATGGTGAACTCTGAAACGAGTCTATGATTAATTTGCGAAATGGGCGAAATGCGTGCTCCAAAATAAATAATGTATCTTTTTAATCAAGGTTGAACCTATTGGTTTCTGGCAAAATTCAACGTACTACGAGAGTGGGTCAATATGTAATGCAATAAAAAGTATATTTTTCTAATTTAGCTCTTAGTTCTTATTTTTGTGTAAACAATACTATCCTAAAGGCACCCGCTTTCAAATGATACCAAAATGGCGGAAATTAATATTTTTTGAAAATAATACATAAGTCATCAGTTAAAATGACCTGTCCTGTTTTGTTTTGGGTCCTCCAAGGCTCCTGACCGATGGTCCTTGTTGCTGGGTCTTGTGGGGGTTGCGTTCATTGAACGCCGGCTTCCTTGTCGATCTTGTTTACCATATTTCAATTATTAGTGAAAACAAATTATTATGGGCATTATGAATATAATTTGATGTTGTATTAACAAGACACATGTATTGTTTACGCTATTTAGCTTTTTTCTGTTTTGTTATGTTCATTATATGATAATGTGTGTTGTCAATTGATAAAGAATTTTATGTCAGTTTTCTTTCTTTTTAGATATTTCTTCCTTTCCGTTACATGCATAGTTCAATCCGTTCAGTCGTAAGTTTATTTACCATATGGTCTATTTAAAGGTAAAAATGCCCAGTCAGTAAAGTCAAAGCAAACAACGTACTTTATCTATTTCATTGGTAAACAGTTTTGACTGCACATTTCCCATTATTAATCTGTTAAAACCAATCTCTCCAAAGTCGACATGTTTTATCTTAAAATCTCTGTTGGATATTAGGAATGAATGACGACTTAACCGCCGTATGAACACATCTGCGAATGCTTCTAAATTAAAGTTATACCATTTCATGTTTAAATGTTGAACTCTGCTTAAGCCGGTGCTAGAGAGCGTGGATGGTAATTTGCACTTGACAGTACCGTCCATGAACAGACTCAATCAAACCGAGCCTGCAACATTTTCATTTTTGCCGTGTTGGGCTTTCTGTAGGGGTTCTTATTTTCTCTATTTTGACAGTAGCGGGTTTAATGCTTTTTCTGAGAACTCCTCTTAAAAAACTGTTATCAATAAATATCTTAAAGATATATCGGCTCCAGTATACGGCTCCTCCACTTGGACTGCTGTTTAAGAAATAATATTGGTTGCATCGCTGTTCATCGCTATTTAACACCACTAGGAGTTTTGATGCGTAGGAATATACCATGAATGGTTTTTAATTTTTTCGATAAATACCGCTCAGATCATAATTATTTCGCTTAAAACAAGGCAAAATAAGCGAGATCACTAACCCTAATTTTTCAATCGGATATTTCTTCAACTGCTTATTTTCGTATAATGCTTTTCTATTTCGTAACCGACAGTCGCTAAAATGTATAAGGTATAAAAGTTATTAAACGAAAAACTGTTTCAATCGATTATTCAAAATAATTGTTTTTTATCAAGTTCTCAACAAATTAAACTTACTTGTAGTGTCACAAACTCACAATGTGTTTATATTGATCAGCGCTCGAATAATCATTGATCAAACCTCATCGATGTAAGTTTAAAATGACGTCATTCTAGCACATTTATGGATACTTAGGATGGCGTCATTAGCTGTTTACGACTTGGAGACGGATTATTCTTGATTACGTTTCCTTAATTGATATTGGTAAAAAAATGTGGCATTAGTGATTTTGAGATGTTGTAACTTGTTTTAGCATCATAATGAAAAGAAAACATAAAAGTAACGGAAAATATCAATAAAAATGCGTTAATATTGTTGCTCTAAATTATCTTATCGGAGGGAGAAAAAATAAAAGCTCTAAATACATGTATTTCATATCCAGTGCCTTTTAAACACCGATATTTTTTTCTTTGTGTATAGTGACAAAATCACCAGGAGTGTTAGAATAAAAACATCGTCGATTACCCTCGGTATATATTCCATACAAACTACATAATGAGGTATGTACGAAATATATACCGTGCATTATGCAGTATGTATGCAGTATGTATGGAATATATACCGTGGGTAACCGAATAATCATGTTTTGAAATTAAGTGACGCCCAAGATGGAATTTTGACTAGAGGCTAAAATTGTTATAGAATTTGTTTGTCATTCAGTCAAGGGTAGCCTTACTTGTCGCAGTAATATATCACCTTTAAAACATGCAAGTTATTTGAAATGATAATAATAGATAACTAAAAAGCTATCGGGGGGCTTTATCTATTAAAGCACGACGGATAAAACTCACTTAAGGGGCTATATTCGACGAAATTACATGTATGTACAGGCTAACAATGCGATTGTGAACATAGGTTTAAGTTTTATTCTTCTTTCATGTTTCATTATTCCACATTCATTGAAAGTCAAGTTAATTAATGTATACCCAAATAAATGCAAATTAAATTCATTAACCAATATTCAAAGAGAAAAATAATATCAACAACATGAAGTAATATCATGTAAAGTGCCACTTACACAATGTTTATGTAAAAGTCAGTCAAATCTAAGATTTTATTTAAGTAACAATTGTAAACAAAGACGATCAGGTATATTTCGATTTATTTTCTTTTTAAGGGAAGCTCAGATGAAACGGAAGCCGCTGTAGGTCTTGCCATCGATGCTGGATATCGCCATTTCGATTGTGCATGGGCTTATGGAACGCAAGCAGTAGTTGGAAGAATGTTGGAAAAGAAAATAAACGAAGGTGTCATTGAGCGGAAAGATGTTTTCATTACTACCAAGGTTTGATTAATTTTAAATTGCATGGGAATCCATAAATGATATAGGTACAGAACAAGGAAACACAAAACTGACCAATTTTCGAGTAAATAGAAAAAGGGATCCCTTTAGAAAGCCCAAATGGCAAAATTAAAAAAAATATATTCAGGCTCGGTTTGATTGAGCCTGTTCACTGTCAACTGCAAACTACCGTCCACGCCCCCTAGCACCGACTTAAACTGAATTCAAGTGTTCATACGGCCGTTACAAAGAGTCCAGTTTCCGACCTAGAGTTAAGATTACTCAGTCTTCTATCTTACCGAATGATTGTTTCAAACTTACCTAGGCATATAGCGAAGACAATTATCTTTCGGTTGTCCTTTTCTTATCGCGCACTGACGTTATTTTCCGGTTTACAACCATGCTGACGAAGGTTTAGAAAATATGTGATATAAAAAGCATTTAACGTTCATAAAAATTTCAAATTAATTCAGTTTTTTTTAATTTCAAACTAATCCAGTTATTTGTTTGAAATATTAAAAGTAAATAAATTAAAATGAGTTTCATAAATTAATATTCAACGGAAAGTTAACAACAACACGTACTTGTATATACTACAAAGTCTAAATGGTATACCGTAGTGTTTTTTGGAAATTCTGTATAAAAATGTTTTTAGTCCCCTACCGGTTTACCGGAGGAGACTTTAGGTTTACCCTCCGTCCGTCTGTCTGTCTGTCTGTCTGTCTGTCCGTCCACAAAACTGGATCCCGCGATAACTTGAAAAAGTACTGAAAATATTTTTATGAAACTTGATATATGGATAGATGGCAGTACTGATTGGAGATTATGCACGTCTTTTTCTTTTCTTCCTAAGTTGAAAATTCTGGTTGCTATGGCAACAAATAGACTGAAAATATGGCAAATTTTACACATAAACTGGATTCAGTGATAACAAAAAAAGTACTGGAAATATTTTTATGAAACTTGAAATATGGGTAGATGGCAGTCTGGAGATTATGCATGTCTTTTTCTTTTCTTCCTATGTTGAAAATTCTGGTTGCTATGGCAACAAATAGACTGAAAATATGGCAATTTTTACACATAAACTGGATCCAGTGTTAACGCAAAAAGTAATAGAACTATTTTTATGAAACTTGTAATATAGGTAGATGGCAGTCTGGAGATTATGCACGTCTTTTTCTTTTCTTTCTATGTTGAAAATTCTGGTTGCTATGGCAACATATAGACTGAAAATATGGCAAATTTTACACATTAACTGAATCCAGTGATAACTCAAAAAATACTGGAAATATTTTTATGAAACTTGACATATGGGTAGATGGCAGTCTGGAGATTATGCCTGCTTATCTTTTCTTCCTATTTTGAAAAAATATTGGTTGCCTTGGCAACAAATAGGCTTAAAACATGGCAAATATAACAATATTTGTGATTAGTCAAAAAGAGCTGAATTTTTTTTATGACATTGCATCTTTAATTCAAGAGTTAATTCCTCTTTAAGAATTTTGCTTTTAAAATGTTATATTTTGGTATTAGGGACGTTTCAAATATTAACTTTAGCGTGTCATTCAGTCCGTCTGTCTGTCTGTTCATAAAAACTGTTTCCTGTGATCACTTTTAAAGAACTTTTCCAACAAATTTACTTAAAATAGAGAAAAATGGAAACATTAGTGAATGGCCAATGGCCCTTCAGAATGTTGATGGGGTTTAACCGGTAGGGGACTTATGGATTGCTTGCAATACTATGATAATTGCTTGTATTTTCTATTTTTTATACTGAGTAATGTGTTGAAGAAGTTTTGTCAATATTTCTTTTACAGTTATGGAATACGCATCACAACCCGAAGCTCGTGATGGGGGAATTGATGGAGTCGTTGAAGCAACTACGAACAAACTATGTTGACATGTTCCTTATGCATTGTCCAACGGGAGAAAAAGTTCGTGAATCTATTAGTTAATTCTTTGATATTTTGCAAAACGGCGGACATGTATCTTAAATGTATATGTTAAAGGAAATTTAAAAAAGAAGAATATTTTATGCTGAACACGAATCTGAAATATACATGTGAAATATAAAAGAAAGTTTTGTTTACAGAGGAGTTTTTGAAAACTAACTGTTAATTAATTTTAAATATCTGTAAATACATATGTATATGTAAATATAAGCAATTCCATTTTGGGGACATTTTTTAAACTTGTTTCAGATACAAGTATAATACATTTTTCACGCAAAGAATTGCATGAGCAAAGTATTTGTTTAAATTTAATGTTGTTTCATTTCCTTTCAAAATAAGGACCAGGGTTTCAGCGGAGAAGTTCTCTTTTCAATAGACACGAAGGAATTTGAAAACTACCCACTAGAAGATGTTTGGAAAGTAAATACATCATTCAATCTTACCAATTTTTCTTTGAACATTTTGTAACGTATCATCCTCAAGTATAATCTTTATACGAACATACTTATTCGAAACCGCTAGTGCATATGTTATTGCAAATATTTAAACAAATTTTGATTCATTTGGTCAATAAAAAAATAAACAACCTAGGATACGCAACATTTCTCATATGAAGGTACGTTATTTCAACAAGTGTAAAAGTGCCTATTCTTTTCGTCTTTTCGTCACATTAACTTGATAGAAAAAGAGAAAAAAAGACAAAAAAGACATAAGACGTTCAGAACGCAGTTGATTACCAATTTGATATGAATTGAAAAAAAATAGTTTATATAAACAAACAATTCTTATTATAGGAGATGGAAAGATGTCATCAGTTAGGATTAACAAAAAATATTGGATTATCAAACTTCACCATTGATCAAACGAATAGAATTTTTGACTGCTGCACCATACAGCCGTCCAACATTCAGGTCAGAAAAAGAATTACATATATATTATCTTTATCTTTTTAATGATTTGCTAGTTCAAAAATGGTACTCTTGAATATCCTTAAAGGTTTCCATGTTACCTATTATTTCCATGTCTAACTTTCTAGAATTTTAAAGCAAAATTTTTTAATGATACAAAATGATTTAGAATTTATATCCTTCAATAAGTTTGTATGACATTGTCTTCAATTTTCAGATTGAGGTCTCACCTTATTTCCTCAACGAGCGTTTGGTTAAGTTTTGTTTAGGCAGGGGAATGACTGTCACATCTTTCAGTCCACTAGGTTGCCCTTCACATCCAGTGTAAGATAATATGTTAATACTGACTAACAAATAACAAATTTGTTTTAAATCATACAATATGTGTATGCAATATGTCAACTTACTATAAGAAATACCGAATCATCTTCATTCCATTAGCTACAATCTGTATAATCTGAAACAACATTCTGCAAGAGTTCATAAAGATATACAGGTAATGAAATATGACCTTGACTTCTCCCTAACTTAACCGGTAGAATGTGCTTATCTTTGGATTATTTCAAGCGAAATCGGGGATTCGACTGTCTTCAATTGACCGCAAGTTATGCACTCTTTCTTTTGTTATACACGTAATTCAACATCCATGGTAGCTTTCGTAAATTAATTCTGCCACCAGGTATGATGTTCATAATAAGATATTTTTTCGTTGCCTCTCTTAATTTTTCAGGAGATTAGCGGGAGAAAAAGGTCCTCTTGAAGATCCTGTCCTCATGGAAATGGCCAAAGGAAAAGAGAAATCTGTAGCACAGGTAAACTTAAAATATAAATGCATTTTATTGACAGAAAGCTAAAGCATTCACATATGTGTCAGCCAAAAATATTATATTTGAATACTTTACATTGAATACACCTGAATAAATACAAATATTTGATAAATAAAATGATATTGCAAAGTTACACTTTTTGTTTGGTTTTAAAATTCGTACTATCATACAATCTGTATATAAAATTCGTTTTAATTTTATGTGACTATCTAATTTTTCGTTGTCAAATTAAATAGCATTGGTCTTCAAAAGCACATTTCCCACAATGTTCTCAAATTCGGATAGACCAATAGATATACATTGTCTGGATATTCTTATAAAATATGACTTGAAAAAATGTTGAAAAATTCTATGTGATTTGATTTGAACATTCATTTGATGGAGAATGATATTTTGTTCAAGAACAATAGACTTGTATTATCGGATCATGTATTTCACACTAATCAACAAAATCCATATACAATTCTTTAGTTATTGTTGTCATATGTGTCACAAATCATTCCACATTTTTATCAAGTGAACGATATACAAAGAACATTTATAAGAAGTGATCAAATATTAATCCATATAAGGACGTAAAATTCGATTCTTTACAGGTTTCAATGATTTTTAGAAAAAAATGTATTCATCTCCAACAGATATATAAATTTTCAGTCTCAGGATCCAAGCTGAAATGAAGGCATTTTCAAAGTCAATTTAGGTATACACATGTACTATGAAGGCACTGGAATACTGCAGTACCCAGATGTTTGCAATGAACTTTTTTTCGACACTATATGTATTTTGTTAGCTTTTCAAACAAAAAGAAGTCATAAGGGGCAAGGTCAGTTGAATGCGGAGGACGAAGAAGAAAAAAAACTTATTTCTGCTTTACAGAGTTTTCATATATGACGCTTTGTCACGCAGCAATCTGACATTGGCCAAACTTGTAACTGTTCTTTGTTTTCGACAGTATTTGTTTAGTGTTCGAAAAACTTTTGAAAAAAGTCTAGTAATATATTTCCCTTCAGGACCAGCAACCTGAATGGCGGGACAAAAGGTTGTAAAGAAAATGGCGGCATACATTATCTTTTTATACTGATGGTCCCTTTTTGCAAAGCATGGTCTTTTGTCAGACATTGTAGCCCAAATATTGTTTTGGTATTTTCCTTTTTGCTCATAAGAATGAATCATGTTTCGTCGTCTGTGATGATATCTCTAAAAGACCCTTGAATGGTAATTTAGTAATTGTTTAAGCAACAACTTAGCGAATAGGGAAACAATCTAGCAAAGATCTTTCTTACTTTCAAATAACGTTTGAGAATGGCATGAGCTACTCCTTATGAGATGCCAACGACACAAGCTTTTTGCCTTGTGCTATATCTTCCGTCGATATAAACAATTTCTTTCAGCTAAGCAACCATCTTGACAGACATTGCTGTTTTTAGCCAACGGGCATGGGATGCATCTTTAGTTGAAATTAACATACATTTGAATTTGAAAAAGACATTTCATTTTGTCTCTATATAGAACAGATTTCATCAAAAATGCTTTTACACCCTGTGTCAAGGAGACAACGATTTAAATATAAAACCGTATTTCAATGGCATACTCTTATATAACAGTATAAGAGTCGACAATGCATAACGAGCTATAAAAAACAGATTAAATGAACGAAGTTTTAATGAATGTGTTATCAATGTAAAGCTAACATGTCTACACGGTGATCTTCATTTCTTCGTGTGTTTTGCATTATTCGACAATATAACGTTCTTTTGAACTCATCCCGTAGATATTTCTGGGTGCCACACGAATTTTTAATTATGTGTGCGAAGTAGAATATATTAAATTTGAACAAAGAAAATTGCAAACAATTGTCTTTACTTTCCCACTTACAAATGTCACTTTAAAATAATAAGATGTAACCGACAAGGATTTGAGCAGACCAGAATGAACATTTCTGTTGATAAAATATTACCTTGAAATGATGCTTTATGTTTGAATAACATTCCTTTACTCAGAGTGGCTCATTTTTATTTAAAACAATATACAGTTATAATGAATGGTGTGTTAATTTAAACTTTCGTTTTCTTTTTTTCACAGATTATTCTTCGGTTTCTAATACAGTACGGAACTGTCGTGATTCCCAAAAGTGTCACCCCATCTAGAATCAAAGAAAATATAAATGTAAGAACATTTTTAATTTTTGTGTAAAATCTCGCTATACACATGCACTTTACAGAATGGGCTGAAAACAATATTTCGAACATGGTCTACGTTTTGTTTATAATGTTTTTCATACATTTATAACTAATGAACAAAAGTGTAATCAGTATGCATTTTGATACATTGATAAAAAACAGAATACCGAGTTTCCAGTTGGCATTTTTGTATTTCTTTTCATACCCTGTGTCTGTTAAGTTGCAAACAAACATTTTGAAATAAGAACACTTCTTGAGTGCATTTAAGTAAGTTAATGTACTATCTTGGTAGTCCCAAATATAAAGATTTGAGTATTGGGTTGTGGTTGATTGCAACCTAGAAAAGAAATGGCATTCAGTGTCTGTTCCCTTCCTCCATCGACTTGGACACGCTGAATTAGCGGGAGATATATATTAACAACAGTAAATATATGAGCTTAGATTTTATGTGCATGGTTGCTGTTGACTTGTGCATATAATATTTGATGAACGTTGTCTTTGTGTTTCGCTTTGTCTAAGTTGTCTTAGGGATTCGGTGGAGAATGCAATATGACAAACTTTAATAGAATGTGTACATATATTGATTGATATATAGATAGATAAAGTAAAATCAAGTGTATAGAATGACCATATAAATTACCAACTGTCGCTTTGATTAAGCATTTAAACAATATTCAAGGTGTTTGACTTCGAGTTGTCAGAAGAAGAAATGCAGAGGATAAAATCTTTAAATAAAAATAAAAGAGTATACAAAGTGATAAGGTATGTAGCAATGTATACCTTTACATTTAAGCAACTGCCCAATTATAGTAATGCAAACATTTTCATAATCAAAGTACAAGTGCCATATTTGTCGTAAAAAAGAAAAAAGACAGAATGAGTAGGGGAAACGCGCATTAAAGGTTGGAATTGAATACTTCGTATAATGCAGCATAGTTGACGCAACAATCTATTATTTCTACAAGCTTTTCGTATATATATTTAAGAAAAGATCGGCTTTTCCAGCTTTAATGTTTTACACGCTTATATAAGTATTTAAAAAAGTGGAGTAAGTAGAGATACTAAAATATCATTCATAAGCAGAACGTTTCTTGTTGTTCACATATTTAAATGTTTTATTTTATCCACGGTTTCAGGTTGAAACATCACCCGGAATATCCGTTCGACGCACCTTTGTAAATTTTCTTTACGGCATTGGGCAAATTTACAGCTGAGGATAAATATTACCAAGATTTGCCGGTCAAGATTATGATTAAGATATTTATCGTTATGCCCTGCCATGAAAAGAGGGGTTGTTTTATTGTTATATTCAAAGCTTTTATATGTAATATTGTTATATTAGCAGCTTTTGTGTGTATATGTGCGATAAATAAACTGCGTGTCCAATGATAAACATCAGCATACATTATGATTTCAAAAAAGTTGAATCAAATGACCAGCTTAAGTTGATGATAATCTTATAGTTCAAAACCAACAATTCAAAGGTCAATGTCTTTGCAGGGGTAGAGCTTTGTGTTTTTGTTGCGGCTGATATGAACTTCTTCATACATGAATCGATTTCATCATAAATTCATCAAAGTTAAAAGATATAAACATTTAATGTTTCTAACTTATTCGTAAATGGTGTTATTATTCGTGTCCGGTTTTACACTTCAGCATGTATGATGAATTTTGCAATAAAATTAGTTCACACGAGAACCATAATTAAATGATGAATTGCGTGCAAATATCTATCCAAAATGTAGGAATGTTGTTTTTGTTTTCTTAATATTCTGAAGTGGTCATTAGTAGACGATAAGTTGAGTCCAAAACCAATGGCATTATGTTAAAAGTGAAAGTAATCTGAATGGAATATTGATTTTATCATATGAGAAAAAATAATATTCTTTATTATCTGTCGCATATGTAAATAAAAAGTAAATAAAATGTTTAAAAGTTCCTTATATCATGTCTTCACCTGATGTGAAATAAGAACATTGTGTTCAAGTTGCCAACTTGTAATAAAAATATCCAATCATTTAGATATTACTATAATAAATACAAATAGTAAAAACAATTCATATTATAAAATCTTCATATAAAACTAGGGAAAACATAAATAATATATTTTAAATAATATGATAAAAATATTTTCGACCAAACAAGGTGTGAATGGATATTCAAAAGAGGAAACGGTCACTTGGTAGAAGCAATGCAGTGCCTGTTTAACCTTTACCCCGCTTAACTCCTTAAACTAACACCTTGACGTAACAATTTGACGTAAATCTATGTACAGGTGATAATGGATGTACAATGATGAAAATATATTTTAACTAATATATTAGGTTGTACAATAGCGTAAATCTATCTACAGCTGAGAAACTGTGTACAATGGCGTAAATTTATCTACAGCTGAGAGAGGGTGTACAATGACATAAATCTGTTACCAGTAAAATCAAAGACATACTTCTTCTATATTTTTTTTACGAATTATCATAGTAAGCTTACGCGAATATGTAAAAAGCTAGTTACTGGCGACAAGAAAATCAAAAGCAAAGGAAAGTGTGATATTCAGACTTGATTAACTTTACAAATGCTGCTGAAAATTAAACAAGAGTATTATCAATTACTTTAAGTTAAATATTAGACCAAATATTGTTTTCTATAAATGCTGCTGTTATAAAAGAAATTATCATTTCTAACTGCTGCATGACCATAGTGTATTCTGGTGTCAGGAAAATAATTATTATTGCTCATTTTTGTATCTTATGCTTTCTTTAGATGGATAAAATGCATCTTAGCTAAAAAAAAATAAAGTGGACTACAATACCTCAATTGGTATTCTGTATGCTGAAGTTTTATGTTGTGCTTTTATCGATTATGAAAAAGCTTTTGATACTGTGATTCGGGGTGCATTATGGGTTAAACTTTTAAAAACGGGTATAAGTTGAAAAATGATTAATATTATTAGGTCAATATATACGAATGTTAAATCATGTGTTAGATTGTCCCGAAACATGAAACTATCAGAATTGTTTGACGTCACTGTGGGCTTAAAGCAAGGGGAACCACTCTCCCCGTTACTTTTTATTTTGTTCATAAATGATATACATGAAAGTCTTGATTTTAACCTGTTAACTGAAAAAGATTTAGATATGTTGAGTATGTATATGTTACTTTTTGCTGATGATATAGCTCTTTTTACCACTAGTCCTGATAGTCTTCAAACACAACTAAACATGGTTCAAAATTATTCTACAAAATGAGGTCTTACGATTAATGTTAAAAAAACAAAAATATGTATTTTTGAGAAAAGAAAACAACCGTGTAATTATGTTTGGACAATAAATGATGAAATTGTAGAAGTTGTTGATAATTTTACTTATCTTGGTGTAAATTTTACTTATACAGGTAATTTGAAAAATTCTGTTAAAAATTTATCAAATCAAGCTCTCAAGGCTTATAATTCACTATTACAATTGTTTTATAGAGTGAACTTAGATATTAAAACTAAACTAGCTCTTTTTGATTCTATGGTTGTACCAATAATTTTGTATTGCTCTGATGTATGGGGAATTTATGATTTTAAGGAGGTAGATAAACTTCACATCAAATTTTGTAAAATAGTTTTAGGTGTGAAACAACAAACTCCAAATCCTGCGGTTTTTAGCGAGCTAGGAAGGTACCCTCACTCTGTTATTAGTAAAGAGAGATCATTACAATACAGGCTAAAAATAATGAATAATCAAAATTCACCAATGTATAAATTATATATTGAACAATGTAACACAAATAACAATAATTCATGGGCATCTAAGATTAAAACATTAGTAGATGACTTAGGATGTAGTTATATTTATTTAACTTCCTGGGTCAATTACAACTTTGCACCTATTTTAAAGCAGAGGTTACGAGATCAATATGTACAAAAATGGCATGAATGTATAGAAGACATGTCCAAATTGGAATATTATAGAATGTATAAACAATGTTTTGTTTTTGAAAAATATTTGGAATGTATTAATATAGATAAAATTAGAAAATGCATGACAGGCTTTAGATTAAGTTCTCATAGTTTAGAAATTGAGGTTGGTAGATATCAAGGTATGCATAGAAATGAACGAATCTGTAAAGCTTGTAATACTAATATAGTTGAATCGGAATATCACTTTTTGTTAACGTGCCATATTCTGAAATAAGAACAAAATATTTAGGTAATTGTTCATGGCCTAGTAGGCAAAAATTTTCAAACAGTATGTCCTGTAAGAGTAAGAATAAGTTATATAAAACTGCCAAATATTTGTATGAAGCATTTCAAATAAGGAAAAGATTTGTCGATGTAGAAGCTGCTTCTTAATTAGCATTATATAAATACACTTCACTATACTGTATATTTGTGACAATTTGTGTAGGTTATATGTATATTTATTATGTACTAGCACTGTATTATGTACTGTTTTATATGTTTATGTTGTCTTGGCCATATTCTTCACTTTGCAAATGTTAAATTGGCCAAAGGCATGTTATTATGCCGATTTGCTGAATAAACTGAACTGAAATTTATTCTTTATTATTTTATAGTTTGTTTGCATGTGACAATGTATCTGTTTTTGTATAAAATGATAAAGCAATAATAAAATATGATTAAACTGAAAAGTCTGGGCAACATCTTACTGCAAAGTATGAGCAAGGTTAAGTAAAAGAATTAAACAGCAACATTTTTGAAATAAAAAAAACTAGAAACAGGGCATAATCTGTTATTATTTTCCGAAAAAATGATTCACAATTTTAACTTTTGAATGCATGTTCACTATTAGCAGACATTTCAATTTTTTATTTTCTAGTATAACATGTTTGCAATTATATATATTTTTTGTATTATTCCTAGTCCTACAATGAATTTATCTAATTCTGGAATGGAGACTTAACCGCTATATGAAAACATCTGCGGATGTTTCTAAATTCAAAATTTCACCATTTCCGTGTTAAATGTTGAATTCTGCTTAAGCCGGTGCTAGGGGGCGTGGACGGTAACTTGCACTTTCCAGTACCGTCCATGAACAGGCTCAATCAAACCGAGCCTGCAACATTTTCAATTATGTTGTGTTGGACTTTCTCCAGGGATTCTGTTTTTCTCTATCTTTTAATAAATGATATAAGATTTTAAATACTTAGTTATGATTTTGAATTAGCAAAGACCCACAATAATATCAGTCGAACATTAGAAAGTAAAATCCTGATGCACAACATTTTATCAAGTAATTACAGTAAACATGTTTTAAAAGTTTGACGACTCTCATTAATTACTGAGGGATTAGTTATTACCTTAGAACCTTATTATAAGGAAAGACTTTTACTGTGCATGCAATAAACAACAGACCTAAATGTATTATTGAAATAAGAACAAAATGTATTTTTTTCTCTGCAACAGAAACTTCTTCCTTACAGAAAATTGCAAAGAATCTATAATTAGAATCACCTCTCATCATCATTATCATCATGAAGACTTCACGTCTTAAACTTCATCACGTTTTGCTGTTATAACAAACAGACGGTATGAGCTATCTTGTCCTGTATATATTACTTGTCTGAACCTACTGTACATTCTTTGTTATCAAACAGTAACATGACAGAAGTCATCTGAAAAAAAAAGCAAAACAAAATTTAATGTCTTATATATTAAATATCATGCACAAGTTATCAGTATTAAAACAAGCAATTTATATCATTTAACCACAATTTTGTCTGCACAGATGATAACTGTGTTACACCATGCATTATATGAATAATAGACTAAGTCTTTTAAAGGTCAATTACGCCTTAGAAAACCTTTCATTTTTATTTTTTCAAATTTTCCTTTTACTTATCTTGTTGCAGTTCTAAAAAGTTACTCATTGACCATGTTGATAAACTATCTGTGGGTCCTTTTCCCTTTGGCAATTGGTATAATCATACATGTAGTAATTTAGTTTTTTTATGGAAGTCAAAATAATATTTTGCTCACATTTTGCTACCTTTACAACACATAAATGTGTGTTCACTGCTTCTCTTTTCAGTTGATAAACATCTAAAATGTTCTAAATACATTATTAAAACATTATTGAACAACATATTTGACCTTTCTAAAGAATAACAAAATTATTAATTTCTTAGGCATTATTTGCCTTTAAGATTTTCAATGTTTTTGACCAAAGGTTCTTTTTCCAGCAGTACACTGATTGTATATATTACTAAGAACCGAAAATAATGTAAAATGTTGTACACATTAATTTACACACAACTTGACAGCAAATTATACATTTTTCAATATAATAGAATACAAAAATTTTATGCTTTCATAATGATAGAAAAATTCTTTAAAGGAAAAGTTTTTCTCTCTGTAACCCAAGAGAAATCATAAATATTGTAAACTTCAGAGTCATACTCTTATTACTACCTTTAGCATTAATGGCCTCTTGTTGCTGAATTCTGAGGTTGTTATATGTACTTTTACGGTCAAAATGAGGAAATATTTTTCAAGGAATTCTTTTTATATATATGCGAACACAAAACAAATAAAATAAAGATTAACGATATGACACTCAGGTAAATTCAGTATTTGACCTTAATGGTCAGTCATCTAAGGTCAAGGTCATATTTGAATTACTTAAAGGGACTCCACTAAGGTTTTTGACATGACGGGATTGGAAATAATTTTTCAAGAATAATATTCTATTTGATGTCGACTTAGGCAAAAAAAAAACTTATATGCAAAATTTTAGATCATGCGCTCGCTTCGTTTTCCCAGAATGATTTATCTAATAGTGAAAATGTCCCAAAATTGAAAAGCGTTACAACCTTTTTGATTCATATCGGGAAGAATAGAATAAGAATAACACAAAAATACGATTTTCAATGTATTTCTGAGTATATTTCTTTATTATCTTTCTGATTTAAGTTCCCCAGGTAATCTATATAAGAAATTCTCCCATATATACGCTCAAATAGACAATGTTGACCTTGAATGAGCGAGTGCGACCTTGACCCTGGAGGTAGGGGTATGTGATTGTTGCGCATGACACATCGTCTTATAATAACAAACATTTGTGCGAAGTTATTTCAAATTGCTTTGATAAATGATAAAGTTATGGACCGAACACGAAAGTGTGACGGACAGACAAAGGGGTGGACAGACGGACGGAGCCTATTTCTATTATTATTTGGCTTAGTCAAATCAGCTACATGTATAAACGAAACAGGTAAACGCACAAAACAGAAGCCAATTAAATGATGACTTTAACCATTCAGACAATATCACTGATTATCAATCAAGTTTATAATATACAATTAATATTTGTGAAATTAATCAGTAAAATACCATGTTATCATTTTAATTTTTCTTATAAAGATCTGTAAGATCAACAATTTTTCGACAATTATTACAAATCCCCTAATCATCATGTAAACAAAGTGTTATATGATGCACAGTCTATTTACTAGCTTTCATTTTTGCATGCACTAGCATAGAGCAAAATGTAGAACCACGGATTACGAGAGAAAATTTTTGGAAAAGGAATTACATTCTAAAGAAATCTAGTTGTAGAATCTTTCTTTAAATACAGGCGAATATGACTGAGTGCCAATGATTGAGCACAAGATCATTACAAAATAAATAAAATCTAGTTGTTTGCATGTGTGTTTGACCCTAGTGGTCTCATTATTTGCACATTTAAAGCATAATACTAGCTTTCTTTGTACATAAAGAGAAACAGAATCCTTGAAGAAAGTCCAAAACAGCAATATTGAAAATGCTGCAGGCTCAGTTTGTTTGAGCCTGCTCATTTACAGTACTGGAAAGTGCATGCTACTGTCAACGCCCCATAGCACACCAGGTTAAGCAGTCTTCAACTTTTAATCATGTAATGGTAAAATCTTGAAATAAGAAACATTAGAAGGTGTATTCATATGGCAGAGATCATAGAACCTTCAATGTGACACATTTATGTCATTCCATGAAAAGTGGCGTATGGTTCCCAAGGAATACAATGTGTGTGTCCTAAAGAAAAGGGAACTAAACAAAAATGATACTGTTCAACAAGATCCTGTTTATTTTTTTTCTCCGATTTTCAAAAACTTTGGTTTAGATATTTTTTAGACTATGAAAACTGAGTTTGGCACAATATTTGAACCCAGTCAGTGTCAGTGTGAGAACTGAAGCCTAAAAGTATCAGACACCTCCTCTTTGACAAACATACTACATGTATGGCCCCAGTTTTACATACAGATTTAACCACTAAAACATGTTGTTCCTGTGTTTCCTCAACCTTAACAAAAATGTTTTAATCTGGATCTTGTTGAACAGGATAGCCATGAATTTTGTCTTCTTCGGCCTACACAGTTACAATTTTACATGATAACTAGTCTCATTTAATATATACCCAACATTTTTTCTTCTTTTTTCTAATTATTAGACATGAAATTAAAATGTTTGAATTCTGCTTAAGCCGGTACGTGCTAGGGGGCGAGGACAGTAACTTGCATTTTCCAGGACCGTTCAGACTCGATCAAACTGAGCCAGCAACATTTTCAATTATGTCGTTTTGGGCGTTCTTTAGGGATTCTGTTTTTCTTTATGATATGTATTGTAAACATAGACAATAATTTTTGGATCTATAATGGTTTTTTATCAATCTGTCATTAAAATGTCATGCGCCAAATACCTTGGTCAATAGCATTCAAAGAATTGCTAGAACCATAGAAAATACATTGTACAATGTATAACAATTTGAGAAAAGAATATCTATGTGTAAATAAGAACAATTATCACACTTACTAACATCATCAATCTAGTTTATTAATTATTACTCTGAAAGTAAGGATAAAAAATATACACATGAGATTAATTTAAGAATTATACAGTACAGTTAGTTTTGTTAAACTTCTATCTGTTATCTATAAAATATAAAAGATATACCAAATAAATGAAAAAAAATAACCAAACTAACACAACCATAAATGTGTTTCACTCCAAACGAATTTTAAAATAGTAAATTATAGGGAGAGCGAATCGTCACATAAGTTGGGCAACTGGCTGTGCCACAATCAAAACCTAACACACAAGTCTGTAATCACATACCTGAAATTAATGCATTTAATATTTAATATATACGTATGTTTCTCACAGCAAACAATCAAAAATACATGTCCACCTTCTAGTTAACTGGCACATAGCCCTTTGGTTTTCTTTTTCATTGTTTTGGTCGCGAAAATCAACGACAAAAAGAGTAGATTAACGTCAAAAAATTAAATCACAAGCTAAAGTGTTTTTTTTTTCTTAAACAATACACAATATGAAAATAACATCGAAACGGGGAGTCATCCACCTACTTTTGTCACTGTCTAAGTCTTCTGTATACCCTTTAAATTGAAGAGCTGATTCACCGGCTAGCTCCAAAACCTACACATTCGCAGCCGACAGGTACTCTCTCAAAATAAAAGGGTCAGCGCCACTAAATTCAATTTTGATAATTAACTGAAACACAATACTAGCCACAGAAAATTGAAATATAGTAAATATATATTTAAAACCTCAAATATCCACTTCAATTTCAAAACTGTCTCTTATTTGTAAATTTGACCCTGGCCAATTCGAAAGTAAACGACAGAAACTGTGAACTGACTCCTTGGGCGAATCGTCAGTGTGGCGATTATCGTTACCAACAATAAACAAATATTCAATTATTTATCACACGCTTGGCTCAGTCTCATACAGTGTTTCTTACTTAATCGTGGTAGCTGTCAAATTTGCTAAAGGATTCTTACAATTACTTCAAATTCCTGATATCTATATCAAATAACAAAAGTCTAAAACAGCCTTTCAGTCGAGTAGCTGTTTACGTTAAAAAACATGGCTGACATGTCACGTGATTCAGCCTCGCATTCATATAGTTTCTGTACACAGCACAAATTAAAGCCAATTGTTACTGTAAATTTCGATAACATGATACATTTCGAAATGTATATTAACCCTCCTGTAATGAATGTGGGTACGGATTTTCTAACTTGTTACCGAACACACGGAACTATATTTACTACGTGCATGTATGTTCATTCAGCAGAAATTCGGATTGTAATAAGGGTGGGCCATAGTAATTACTTTGGGGCGACAATCGACCAAAAATGGAGATATTTTTCAGGTACGGAAAATGTTCCAATTTATTTAAACTTTAGTTTCAGAAAACATGATATATAATATATATATGTGACAGGTCCGAGTACGAAAGCACTAATTGGTACAAATCGTTTAGTATATTAATACTGCAAGAGATATAGGTATTGCGTGTTGAAATATGCAATTGAACATTGACAGACTTATGACGGGACGTCATTTTACAAAGAGGGGGAGTATGTGACAGGTCTGAGTTTTATCAGGGTTATTCTGTGTTTGGTAAATATATTAGTTTTTAGCCTCGTTCTGAATGGTTCTATTTTTAATTCTTGATTTTCATTGGTCGTGGCATCGTTTCCGCCTAAGCTGAGTTTAGTTCAAGTTTTTGGAGGGGTCTAGATGTGTTTGACATCTTTTGGATGTTTTATTTTTGTTTCTGTTGAAAAGGTTAAGTGTATTGTCAAATGGATTAATTGTATAGAGGTATGTTTTGACCTACTGTTGTTTACATCCATTTTCAGTAATGAGTGTTAATTAAATCGTGAGTTTTTGGTAACTTATTTAATACATAGAATTTATGTACATGAAACTATCAAAATGGCGGTACGGGACTACTTTCTTTAACAAATCTAAATATCACTTGATATCTTCAATATCTTATCACATGTTTTAATATAACCTCTAAATTTACAGTTTTACTGATAGTCACAGTGTGAGGAGGCGGTTGAAAGAGTTTATGCAGGTGTTATTTATAATTGTGGACAGTGCCATACACTGGTGAGTTAAATTATTGTTATTGTACATGTATGATGTGACTATATTGTTTTTAACAGGTGATAACTTTATTTGTAAATTGTAATATTCAACCTTCTATGTTAAGGTTTAGTTAATAAGAGTGTAAGCCACTAGATTCCACTTACTTTATATGAAAGGCATCCTTTAATGTTTATGTATTATTTATTTGAGAAGATGAATTATTTCTTTCAGAGATTGTATTGTATTGCAAGTTATAAAGTAAGGATTTGTAATGTATTTTACAGGTCACCTTGTTGTTAATCACCTTGTAACTTACGTTTGGAGTATTGGAGAGGAGTAGATCTAGTTTATAAGGTGGAATGGACATTGATGTAAAATATATGTGACATATCCGGTGTTTTATATATATAATAATATTAAGTAGAACTGCTACATATGGTGTTTCTTTTTATGTTTTGGATCCTTTTAAACAACCAGAACTTAACCAAGACAACATATATATATTGATAATATATCATTTGTGTAAATATATGAAGATTTTTTTTATTTTTAATTCTGGGTCATTAGCTTTCGTGTTCTAGTAATTTGCCCTGTTAACCTTTGCAAATACTCAGGTGAACAAGTGCAGGCATTAACTCAACAGAAGATTTCATTGAAAAATACATGACATAGCTATGAGTCTTGGAACATAATTTTCTATCAGAAAGGTCAAAATCTATGCCAGAGTTAAAGACTTTCTAAAGTGACCTCCAAATATCATCCAAAAGACACAAATTTATGTTAAAATGAAAACAAATTTACCTTCATAAGATTACAAGCAAAACTTAAACATAGATTTTTCGTAGTTCAAAAAGGACTAAAACTCAATAAAAATCAATGCTAGTTACGAATTTTGAATAGTGGACGATTGGATCTTGAATAATACCATCTGTTGGACCCGGCGCTTATACATTCTTTGAGAAACATTATTTATTAGTTAATATATATATAGCTATATAGCTTTTCTCATTGAATGTTATTAAACTACATGGAAAATGAATAGTTACTTTATGGAACATGGGATAAATGTTTGTTTATTGCTGAATTATAATAATTTATGAATAAGGCGGCTATCGCATTCCAGTATTACCATGCTATACCGTTATGAAATTGTAGGCTTGTGATATACTTTAAAACATAACAAAAGTATAGCAACTGCCTACGCAACTTAGGTGGTGAGGATGTCACCTGTTGAATTTCTATTTTAAATAAAACAGTCCGGCCTTATTTCTTCGCAAAATGGACAATTTAGATACATGTACTAAATATCAAATAATTATATTAATTTTAAAACATTAAATCCTATAACCTTTTCTTATACTTTGTGTTCTTCTTTGTGTCTTTTGTGGGTTTTTATTATCATCATTACCGTTTGTTTCATTGTGATACATATTATGCCTGTATTACACGATGATGAATTTATTTAGACAGTGTTGCAATTAGTTGGTTTTGCTGTCAACAACAACGACAACGAGATCAATAATCACTTTTATAACAAACAACATAACACATACATGAATATGACTTATTCACATCAAATAAAGTGTGGGTTAAAACAAATACTAAAGACGAGCTTATACTAATTGTAAGTTTCAAAACATGTGGACAGTTCTAATGTTACCAGCAGCTTGTGCATTAGTTTCTTTATTAACAAAAAACCAATTGAAATAGTAAGGTATTTATATAGAAATCAAACAAAAATTGTAACAGATAGAGCATTTCAATGTATAAATTTAACATTTTATAACATTATTAGAGTTCTCCTAACAATTAATTGTATTATTACATGTCAAATAACCATATAGATATGCATGCTAATGCAAACGTTCGTACAAAAACAGATGTCAGGAGGCGTGAGAAAATACTAATAAGTCCATCCATCTGTTCATTAACAATACTACGCTTGAAATATTGTTACAACTGCTTACATGAGCATAGTAAAGGCGGCTCAATATACGCCCGAATGAAAAATTGTTTTAGTAATTAAGAAATAATGTATCCCAAACTGTGAATTTATTGCTCAATAACATCACTGTTTGGAGTTCGGATGCGCATCATTATATCACTCGGGCTACGCCCTCGTGATATAATGATGCGCACACACGACAAACAGTGATTTTATCAAGCAATAAAGTCACCGATTTGGATATAATATTTTGATTCTAACACGACATCAACAAATAATGCTGCCGTACCTGATATTAAGCTAAATTGCGCCTGATTTGTTTCCGTACTTATTGTCAGCGCGTCACATTTTAGTGGTTACGTCACGTGTATATTGATAACGTCACATGTCTAGAACGTCAAACAGTGATTTTTATAGCATAATAACACACACTTTCGGTTCTTCTATGTAAAATAGGGAAAAATGCGGGTCGTGTTAGAATAAAAAATAATACACCGGCCCGCAAACGCAAAGGTTGAGGCATCACATTTTTTAATATTTCCGCCGAAAGTAAGGAGAACGGGTGAAGATGATCAATGAAAATCCTTCATTTATTTTTTCCTGTGTATTTCACAGAGAGTTAAATGAAAATTAGACAGCTTTTGACTGAAAATGTGTTAGACGTTAGTAGTGAAATTAAAAATCGAGTAACGCTTCTTTTAGTATTTTAAAGATAGTTTCTGATAACTAAGAAACTATCATATTTCATGGAAAAATGATTTTTATAGCATAATAACACACACTTTCGGTTCTTCTATGTAAAATAGGGAAAAATGCGGGTCGTGTTAGAATAAAAAATAATACACCGGCCCGCAAACGCAAAGGTTGAGGCATCACATTTTTTAATATTTCCGCCGAATGTAAAGAGAACGGGTGAAGATGATCAATGAAAATCCTTCATTTATTTTTTCCTGTGTATTTCACAGAGAGTTAAATGAAAATTAGACAGCTTTTGACTGAAAATGTGTTAGACGTTAGTAGTGAAATTAAAAATCGAGTAACGCTTCTTTTAGTATTTTAAAGATAGTTTCTGATAACTAAGAAACTATCATATTTCATGGAAAAATGCATACGTTTTTAGAATAAACTGGTGTATTAAGATACTTAAAGTAATGAATTACATGTAAGTGTTTAAGCGGGCTTGATCATCCACTTCGTGCATGTTATTATAAAAGTGTTTTCTTTCTTTGGCATCTGTAAACGCTTTTATCAGAATTGGCGTGTCTGTAAAGTATTTTCAACCCGTTTCTGTACCCGTAGGTTTGTGATACTATTAATATACATGTATTATTATAACAGCATTATCAATATTACACACGTCTTTCAAATAATTTGCATAAATATGTTAATAAGCTACTGTGTCACATGAAGTTTGGGCTTTAAGCAGCATGCCTCCAGAATCTTAATGTCATGTAAATTTTGAAAGTGTATTAAAATTATTGTATTGTCAAGTGAAAAAGAAAGTAATTTACATATTGCATTCAATCCACGTGAATTACCAAAATGAAGCTCAAAATATGCGAAAATTGCCATTATTCCGTTAGTCACGCAGTAAAAATATGGTGATGAATATTTTAGTCATTCATTGCATATAACATGTTAACCACTTCTTGATTAATGAAAGTTTTTGTTTTTTTCTAAATTTTGTTTGTACATTCTTTTGAAATTGATTTTTTCTTGAAAGTTTTGACTTATCTGAAGACATGTGGTTTTAGGTGTCCAAATGACAAATTTCAAATTTGATTAAATGATGAAATTTGTGTTTTTGAAGAATGTTAAATACGATTATATGAATTAGATTATGATAAACCGGTACTGACACGATTTAGATGTGTAATGTGCATTCTGCATGGTAAAGCACACTCAAGATTATCTAGGTGGCCTATTTATCATATAGGATTATACATTATGTAGTATCATACATTAATTACTCGTTTACTTTTTAAAAAAATGGACTTACATAACATACAGTTAACCCTTGGATCTGGAAAAATTCCATCTGTTGGGCTCGGTACTTTTACATACTTTGGAAAACATGTACGTAAATTTTTCAAGTCATTACATTGTGTATAAAATTATATACTTGAACTGTTGATAAAAAAAAACGTTGAAAATGATATTTACTCTATCCGCTTGGTAAGCGTGTTAAAATAGTATGCGACCCAAATACCATTTAAATTTCAAAATTAAATAGCAAACGTATTCAAAGTTTCAGTTTTTACTTTTCTCAATAAATCAAAAGTATTTCATCACGAACGAGTGTATGAAGTTAAATCAAGTTTTGTTCAAAACACACGATAAAACAATGCAAAACATCTGAGTTTTAAATCAATGATTTGATAACTGTGTGAGAGCTGACATATTTGAGAGCTAGGGAAAGTCATATCAAATCGCTATCGCTATAAATACAAATCGCTCGAGTATAAACATATTTTTAAAAGAAGTGCATGTGAAAAATAATACAAAAAATAGTACAATTTCAATATTTTAAATTAATTAGGAGTGTGAACTTATTCTATACATTTTATCATACCGTGAAAAAGCATCACGCAATTTCATGATTTTCTGGAACTACGCCAGTTAATGTGTTGATTTACATAGCAGTATTGTTTGACAATGTTAACCTGAATGACACTCAAATTTTACCATTTCATGATAAATGTTGAAAACTGCTTAAGCCCCTGCCAGCGGACTTGAACGGTAACTTGCACATGCCAATACCATCAATAAACACAATCAAGCCGAGCCTGCAACATTTTCAATTTTCTTTATTTCTCTGAATTTCATTACTGTGCGGAACCATTTTCGAAAGTTTTCGTGTTTTTTTTCTGATTTAAACGGGAGAGGGAACGAGGAGGAGGGATATGCCAATAACTATTTCAATTAACAAAATTACTATTTAAATAAACATTACTTTACGTGTATGTATGTATCTGTATGTATTTTTGTTCGGTTATCTTACTGGTGATTCTCCTGACTACTTACACTGCGAACGTACTTTTAATGTATTCATATAGTTTGTATGTATAAAGCTTAATGATTTGTAACATGAATGTTGGTATTTGTGCTGTAGACTTGAATTCAAATTAATTATGTCATATAAGGTCACAATATACTTAAAGCGCTGATGCACAGGAGTATTCAATCAAGACATACCGCCTGCGCGTCTATACAAGTTAACTTTATGCACCAGTTAACTGCAATTATGTAGATTTGCAAAAGAGATATAGAGTATGTATCCTATTTCATTTTTCATCAGCTGTTGTACAAACGTGTTAACTCTGTCCCATTTCTGTTAACCTGCATAATTATTAATAGTGATATATTTATTTCCTCACACGATAACGTTAAAAATTAGAAACACACAGTTTCCGACAAAAGGATGGGTGCACGTATGTTCTTTCTTGTATGTTTGTTTCTTCATCATGAAATTACTTTTAATATTCTCAAAGTCAAAATTGAGTTGATTTAAAAAGCTATTCAATGTATTGAAACATTCAAATAGTTTGTTCCAATGGACTACTTTGTATTTTGGTGTAATCGTTAGTGCTAGCTGTCAATCAACTTTCAGATGAATAATTCTAACTGTTCGTGAATCCAAAAACGCAGCCGTAATGCATGGTATTTGTAGTGATCCACTTTTATTTTAGGGTAGTCCCGATGACATAGAAGCTGCCGTAGATGTTGCTCTGGAAGCCGGATATCGCCATTTTGAAAGCGCATGGGCTTACGGGACACAGGAGGCAATTGGTAGAGCGTTGGAAAAGAAAATAACCGAAGGTGTCTTAGACCGAAAAGATGTTTTTATTACCACAAAGGTTTCTTTTGTTTGGTCTTCAAATTCAGCTTTTTGGTAAAACATTAAGTTGTATGGAAAAATGCCAATATGTATGTAGAAAAAAACAAAAGGGCGGGCTACAAAAGGTCTTATATAATTCGGGCCATGAAGATTATCATGTTTATTTGTTTATTGATTCTGCATTAAGTTTACAGCTCAACCAACGCTTGATCTTCTATAACTCAATTGATAGTTAAACTCATTATAAAGTTGCTCGATATTTGTCAGAAATGACATGTTTAAAGAGGGCTTTCCTATTTTCAGTTATGGAATACGCATCACAATCCGAAACTCGTGTTGGGGGAATTGAAAGATTCGTTAAAACAATTACGAACAAGCTATGTAGACATGTTTCTTATGCATTGTCCAACTGGACAAAAAGTTCAGTAATTATATCATTTTTGTTTAACAATACATACACTTTTCACATGAAGAAAGTTTTACAACTGAACGTCTATTTGAAATATATACATGTATGTAAAGGACAATATCCGTATTGTATAAAAGATTTGTCTTCAGTAATTTGTAATTATGTAATGTATTTGTGACACCGTCTTCTTAAACACCGTGTCATGTTGAATACTGTTTTCATTATATGTATGATATACACAGTGTATTACATGAAAGATAAGAGAGGCTATTTCCAGAGACATTATAAACTATATTTGCAAAATCAGATAAAACACAATTATGTAAAATTGATAGCTTTTATAATATACATTTAGTTTTATTTGACTGATAGTGTCTTCAAATTAGTATTTGCTTTAACCTAATAAAACTAATCAAAGTGTTCACTTGTTTTTCTAATTAGGACCAAGATTTAAGCGGAGATGTAATCTTTGCAACAGACAAGAGTGACTATGCATACTACCCATTAGAGGACGTCTGGAAAGTAAAGACCTTCAACTTTTCGGCTTGTTCGTTCATGGTGCCAATTCATATTAAAAATTAGGATACAATAGATTTTACAATTTTTTCAAGATATATAGGAGACGTTTCTCGTTTAACATTTATCTTATTTCATGCTCTCAATATTTTATTATTTTTTAACCAAACTTCCTGAATGTGAACGGGGAGAGAGGGCTTTACTAGAATCGTGCAAGGTTGTCGCCGTTTTGTTGCTTTATGGTTTATTTTACTCTTGAAAGTCAATTGTCAAGCATTTCGGTGTCTGCTTTTAAAATTAATTACTCTTTGAAGGACTTTCATAACAGATGTCTCAAATGTCCAACTCAGTTAGATGATGTACAATGGAGATCACCTATGGTTGTTGTTCTGGCCAAGGTTTTCGAAAATCTTTTGTTTCCGGGCCATAAAATCACACGTCGAAGGCGCCAGTACAACCCTAAAATAGAAAGAACCACATATGCATATTATACACAACATACCTTATGAATATATGTTGACGTATGTAAAAAATACAGCAGCGATACATGTGCCATGTAAAGTTTTATCGTGTTTTAAGTGTCTTTTTGTTGTTGTTTATTTTTGTTATTAATTTTTGTAACATAAGTTTTGTTTTTGTGTTAAGGATTTATCGCCATATAAACACTAGTTTTTATATGAATGAAAATACTTAAGGTATAAAACAAACTATTCTAATTATAGGCGATGGAAAGATGTCATCAATTAGGATTAGCAAAAAATATCGGATTGTCTAATTTCACCATCGAGCAAACGAAAAGAATATTTGAACGCTGTACCATAAAGCCGTCAAACATGCAGGTCAGTAATTTAAGTGAAAAAATTGAAATGTTCATTTTAAACAGCCTAGATATCAACGTCAAGTACTACAAGATAAAGTAAAATTACTTCACCTTGGGATGTTTAGATGTACTCGTATTCAGTGTGAATGTTCTTTTTTATTTGTGGTAATCCAAGCTTTAACAAGTTCAGACGAAATTTACTATATCTAGTACCAATTGTTTTTGTTAACAAAATATCGGTTTACAGAATATTATAACAGTTTACATTTTTGTATTTACAGATTGAAGTTTCACCATATTTCCTCAATGAGCGTTTGGTAAAGTTCTGTTTAGGAAGGCGAATGACTGTGACATCCTTTGCTTCATTGGGATGTCCTTCAAACCCAGTGTAAGATTACATTTTCAGACAAACCATTTAAGTTTACCTGAGCAGGTAGTTCTCAATGGTGGGTTGTTAAAATCAGTCAGTGTCAATTGTCAAGTTTTGATGTTGTTAATCATCTTTTCATTACACATTGTTAACATGCTCTTCTCAATAATAGGAATGATTATGAGTAAATGTTATCTGGAATATATAAAAAGGTCACTTTGTCATGTCAAATGCTTTGATTACACTACAGAGACAACGTTAATTGATTTTTAAGTTTAACTATATGTAGAAATATCTTGAGTTGGGTTTGAATCTAGATCACCAGTTTAAAAAAAGGATAAACTATCTTTACAGTAAAACCCAAATTTTCATTGGATCTTTATTTTGTTAGAATGCATCTTTTGATTATTTTTGAGTTAGTTTAAATATTGTAAATTGTTTGATCAAAAACTAGTAACCTGATCAAGTCAAAAAATTATCTTGTAAATACAGATTTGTCGACTGATTGATATTACAAAAATGATCTTGCTAATAAAATTATTTCCAGGAGATTAGCGGGAAAGCAAGGCCCACTTGAAGACCCGGTCCTTATTGAAATAGCTAAACTTAAAGGAAAATCAGTAGCACAGGTAAACTTCAAATATTTACATTTCATACTTTATATTGGCATAAACCATTTAAGGATGTTCTATTTTCAAGTGTTTTTTTGTTTGTTCTTGTTAATATACAAAATATGTATTAAGTAATACCCTTGTAGGGCTTAAGATTTTGACTTCTTTGTCATTTCTAAAATTCGTTTAGATAATTTAAATTATAAGATTTAGCTGAAAAAGATTTCAACAGGTCTTTAAACTTTTCTGTTGATCAGATATTAAATAAAAATATTGATAAAAGTATGTGAATACAGGCTCATATTTTTAGATAATGGCTAGATAAATATGTACAGTTATGTGAAATAGTTTGTTAAAATGAATTAAATTTCCATTTCCACACAGGTCATTCTTCGATTTCTCATACAGTATGGATGTTCCGTGATTCCCAAAAGTATCACCCCAGCTAGAATCTGGGAAAATATGAATGCAAGTACATATTTCTTTTTAAAAGCTCGCCATATTTAAATGAACTGACCAATATATTACGTTAAACAGTGTGTGTATTTATTTCTAATGACAATCGAAATTCAACACTTTTTTAAAAACATTATAATGGTTTTACACATTGACATTTTGTTGATTCAAAACAGGGAAATAAAGATTCTAAGTTGTTTGAGGAACGTCCAGTTCTTAATTTATTTATATGGATGTCTGCCTCGATTATAAACATTCCTATCGAGCAATGTAAGAAAAACTTCCAAACCCATTTTTCACAACTTACCCACTGAATTGTTTGGAAAAAGCGAGAGATCTATCGACTTTGCAGTCAATGTGGAATTTACACGCGTTTTTGCAATCATCCTCTACATGTCATGTTTGATGAAAATGGCTTTTGTTTTGCTTTTCTTAAGGAGGGTTATGGAGCCGAAATTTTAACAGTCGGTCACTTGCAGAGAAGTTGGTAAACTGGTTAGTTACCAAGGAAGTCGGTTAGTTTGTCCGACCGCAAATTGACAATAGAACATGTATGAATATATCACACATCTTGTAGTCATAAAATAATAGAAAATTAGGGAAACAAAGAAAAGTGACGTCGGTAATACTAGTCTGTTATGGGTATGAACAGCTAATGAGACTTTTATTATCTTAAACATCTAAGTGATAAAATCATTATTCCCTACAACGCTTAGTATCATACATGTATATATACTTGTCCATTTTTAATCCGGACCAAACCATTGATAAACCATTTTAAAAATGACAAGATTATTTTTTAAGGTATTCGACTTCGAGTTGTCAGAACAAGAAATGCAGACGATAAAATCTTTAAATAAAAATGAAAGACTGTACTATAGTAATTTGTAAGTACCTTAACACTTATAACAACTGTGTAGTTTTAGTAATGCAAACATTATAATAATTGTTATAATAAATGAGCCATGTCATGACAAAACCAACATAGTGCGTTTGCGACCAGCATAGTTCCAGACCAGCCTGCGCATCCGCGCAGTCTGGTCTGGATCCATGCTGGTTGCAAACGCACTATGTTGGTTTTGTCGTGACATGGCTCAAATATAGTAGAGCTTTAAGATAAGAAAAAATAAGTCAAAGTATGCAGCATTGTGCTACTCAGGGATGTTAAGCAGTTATAAATGAATTAGTTTTTTAAGATAATCAGTATAGTTTTGTGTTTGACAGATATATGTTGGCATAATTCTTACGTTGTAGAGTAAGAAGAAACACAAAATATCATCAGCTGAAGAATCCTTTTAGGAAATTGTCACCAGATTTCTCTGTATTCAGGTACGTAAATGTTCTTTTCTTGTCGTTTCAGGTTGAAAGATCACCCGGAATATCCATTCGACGTACCTTTGTAGGTTTTATTAATGATATGGGCAATCTTACTTTTGGGGAAACTGACAATGTATATTTTATTATAAAGATTATTATATAAATGTACGGGCTTTGTCAAAATGTAAGGATTTTATTTTTTGCCTGCTCCATAAAATGGTAACGGGATGTCCGCGCGTGAGAGTGTTTTGTGTTCGGGAAAATATATACTTTGTTTCTGGCCTCTTCATAATGTCAGAATTAATTATATACAAGTAGTCCTTAACCAGTGTTTATAGGCAGTTTAATACCGTTTTTTTCTTAATTAAAACTAATATTCATGAATACCAGAGACTGTTTATCATATCAATTTTGTAATAAATGTTTGTTTACCATGACACTCGTATGTTTGTAACGTTTAATGAAAAAAGTCATACAAAAATTATACAAAAGTCATAACACAAAAGTTAAAAGTCAACATTACATTTGATTTGATGACAAAACCAATAAATAATTGTTGAAAAGTTTTATTCTTAATGCTTAAGTGTGAGACATAATTATATAAGCAAAACAAGTGACAGTTAAGCAAATTCAAAATTGCAAAAGTCCAAATCAACGCCCCTTTTCTGTGTTCTCTTCTGATCCTGTCGCAAATTTTATCAAAAGTGCACACGTAATTGTCGTCAAATTTGCAAAACCTGTCCACTTAATGCTGTCGTAAATTTTGTCAAAGTGTACACGTACTTATAAATGTGGTCAATTTTGCCAAAACTGTGCACTTAATCCTGTCGCATATTTTGCCAAAAGTGTACACATAATTATGTCGTCAAATTTGCCAAAACCTGTACACTTAATCCTGTCGCATATTTTCCCAAAAAAGTACACGTAATTATATCTTCAATTTTGCCAAACCTGTACACTAAATCCTGTCGAATATTTTGCCAAAAGTGTACAGGTAATTATGTCTTGCTAAGACCTAATTATTTTATTTGTCAATTTTGAAAACGTGAAAACTTAATTTAATTCTCGCCTTCATTTTGCTAGATATGTAGTCCTATATTTGTCGTTTATATTGCCAAAAAGCGTTCACAATTTTCACAATCGCGAAATGTTATTTTTTAATTTCTGCCGCCAATTTAGCCAAACACAATTATTCAAATTTTTTGTATATTTTGCCAAATAAATAGATTTCAATCTTTCGTCAATTTTAAAATAAAAGAGATGTTAAATATGTGAAAACTCAAGACAATGTATCAGAGGATACAATAATACATGAAAATACAAATATAGACAATATAAAATAAAAGCTTGTTATGCTATACATACTATAGGAAAATTAACCAAAAGTTAAATATTTCTTTCTACCTTTTCTAAACAATAAGATCATCGATGGCCACATACGTCGCACAGTAAAAAGTGTCTATAAGAACTTAAATACATTAAAGTCATAGATCATATCAAAACAACGGAAAACAACAACTTTACATTTAAACAGTTTGCTCATGATTGACGAATTAATTTGCAAAAGAGCACGCCAAATTCGTACATGTCATTACACAAATTTGCTGGCAGTCTGCAAAATGTTGGTTCTTTTCGTATTTGCAAATCCCCTTGAATGTGAAAATAGAAATGTACTCGTAGAAGTCAAAATGTTTACCTTGCACTTAAAATATATATACTGATGTATAGCCGATTGTTTAGTTAAAAAGTAAAATTATTTAGTAGTTCTTATCGACTAATGTTAACTTGTTAACTTGTATAGCTTCATTTCTTAACTTTACATATTTATGGCAAAATGACAAATATGAAAGTCGACGCAGACTTTGTTTGCGATGCAACGCTAAAACCTGATACTGCAACATTGATGCCTTTTATCCAGCAGACATTAAAAGTTCATAGTCTTTACCACCAGGATGAGCGAGGTCAGTCTGCACATCCGTGGAGTATGACCAGGATATGAACTGTTGACTAACCAACAAATTTTCATCTATTTTCAAAAAAAATAAAATATATATATAAATAAAAAAAATATATAAAAATATAAAGTACAGTGAACGGAAGCTGGACCAGTCCAGTTAAAACATTTTTGTAGATAATTCGAACATCGAAAACTTATTTCTAAACTCGTGCCCTGTGATACCGAACAAACATAAATAAAAACAATTTTGAAAAAATATAACCTGTATTTCAAAATAGATCTATCAAAATATTTTTTATGAATGACTTTTAGATTTCGTCTATAAAACCATATCAAGATGACTTAACAATTGAGTTTTAAAACGATAAGTATAGGTTAGAGTGCATATTGGGTGTTCTTCGTAAATAAGAAAGCTAAAAAGGAGCGGAGCTTGCGAAGCGACTGTAGCTTTCTTATTTACGAAGAACATCCAATATGCACTCTAACCGGCTTAGTGCTCCGCCCATTTTTTTCCGCCCAACACACTGCGTGACGTCACACGATAGCCTAAATGTGTATAAACATATTTGGAAGAGGTAGCGGTACACATTTTCGGGTCACGTGTTTTGCATAGCTTATTCCCGCATTCTGTCTAGGTAAATCAGACAATATCACGGTGCATATCCATATCGGCACCCTCTTTGCGAAATATTCTCAAACGGTACCCTCTTTGAACATACACAGGTCATTCTCTGCTAAAAACAAATCAGCGATGGATAACAATGCAGTAAAAATTCATTGTAATAAGAAAAGGAGGTATGACCACGGAACACTAGAATGTTTTATTTATGTGCTGATTTGTCATGTGCCCGATTTTCAAGTGCTGCAACTTCACAATAAGCTACAAAAAGTCGACATGTCTTGCCTCGCCCGTCCCCTCGATATATTTTTCGGGCTGAAATGAACCTGTAGCTTGATTATATATGCAGCATACATATTTATCATGTTCATATACATATCATCTTCGGACAAATGGCAGTATATTTTCAAAAATAAATGTAAAATTAATAAAAACACCCTACTTTCGGTTTTGCAGCGGCACGGGCTGTAATATTTACATAAAAAGTAAGAAATATTACATACATACTTTGTTGGAATAAGTGAACTTTTTATTTGGAAATTATAAAATGATACTGGTTCCGTAAGTAATAAAAAATTTTTACTGTTATTTTGCCTGTTTTCATTTCAATGAATCTATTTTTTTAATTCTATGCCGTAGTGACGATATACATGTGCGTGTACGGAAAAACATGATGCATAAGTATTGATTAGTAGGAGTAAACTTCAAGATCTCTGCACATGCGTATATTTCACTTTAGCGCTCTTCGAAACTTAGCTCCGCCCACTTGCGTTTTATAATATAAAACGTCCAGTTTATATAAAATCTGTTCTATTAAGATTTGAAACCTAAAAATTTGAAAAATCCTCGTCGGTGATTGGCTTAAAAAAATTGGCGAGCACTAACACTTGAAAGTGTTCTCCACATTTCCTATGAGTATTTCAGCCATGGATATGAAAAACACTATAGAAATACATGATTTGGATATTTGTATAAAATATTGCTTGAAAGGAAAAAATCTTGAAGTTGTAATCGATTTAGTATGAACATTTTTATGATGAATAATAGCATTTTGGTTTAGAACAATTTATTACCTGCTACATAAATATATGTAATTTAAGTTCGGGTCATGTATCTCACATTTGCCAGAAATAATCATGTATAATTCTTTCCTGGTTT